TATCGTGTGAATACCATCCTCGGTGATCAATCGTCGGTAGCAGCAAACCAGAGTGGTATTGGTGGTCAATTTAGATCTGGATGGTGTAGCCTCAATTCACATTGGGCAGGAATTAACGGCGCGGCCAATAATATCTGCCCGGCATGTGATAATGGTCCACATGACACGTTAGACCTATTCAAGTGCCAAACCCACCACTCATCTAACCCCATCTTCACTTTGGACACAAGCGATACAGGTCGTAACCTTTTTGAACATGGAGTTAGAAGCAGAACCAGATTAAGGAGAAATACACAACAGTAAAAGCTGCTACAACAACAACATAAACCAAACGGAAAGAAATCTGCGAGAAAAAGATTAGAAGACTAAAGGACAGTTTATACAACTCGACAATCGATGAGGAATCCCTTCTGATTATTAAGAACCTCAAATTCATTTGGATTTTTTCCGTAACAATTCGAATGACACTGTGAGGAACTTCTCAGTTACTCCTCCTCCAGACGACCACAAGATTATGACAGCGACTTCTAGTCATTCAAAACCCTCCAAGGGTTGTCTGAATGTTGATAAGTCACTGCGAAAGCGAATAAGGTAGTGTCGAAGTCGGCCAGAAAGACAGCCTGCAGAAAGTCGCCTAAAAAGGCGGATTATACACAAGCGCCTTCCGAGCAACAACACAAACCAAAATCCAAACGACAATTAAAAAGTTGCTGATGGATAAGCCTAAACTCGAAGTGAACACGAAGCATAAAGTGCTACAAAACCAGTGGTTCTGAAGAGTATGAGGTCCTCGGATGGGCAGCAACCTGTTGCAAAGAAATTCCAACTGTCTCCTAACTTATCCTACCCTAAATGCTAATCTTTTCTGTGAAGAGATTTTTTATCACCAACATTTTTGTGACAGTGACATCTAATCGTTCACGGGTTTTAAAAATTGAGAAGTAACTGCGAAAGAGGACAGCCTGCAGAAAGTCATCGAAAAAGGTGGATTATATAGACACCCCCTCCGAGCAACAACACAACCCAAAAGTTGCTGCTGGATAAATCTAAACTGGCGAACAGGGGGATTAAAACTTAAAACACAACCAGTGGCTCTGAAGAAAATGAGGTCATCGGATGAGCAGCAACCTGTTGCAATGAAACCCACGAAGTCTCCTAACTTATCCACAGAAACACCAAATGCTAACTAATATATGTCGTTTCCACGACTTAGGAGTCTACGATCCGAAACGACCAGAGCCAGAAGAATTAGACCAATGGGTCTCATCTTCGGACTTACCAAGCTTGGTAAAGATAATAATAAAATAAAAATTTGGTTGAAATCGGATAATCCGCGTTCGCCTGATATTGGATTTATAAATATTGAAAATTTTGACCCTTTATGGGAGGGGAGGTACCAGAAGGAGTTAACCTATGATGGGTCCCATAATATATTGTGCAAAGTGTGATTCAAATCGGATAGCCTGTTCGCATGATATAAAATTAATTTATAGCACAATGTTGGCCATATTGTGGAGGATGTTCCAAAAGGAGTGGACCGATATTTCCCATCTTCGAACTTGAACTAAGTTAAGTAGAAATACTAGATGTGCAAAGTTTGGATGAGATCGGATACTCCCTTCAAAAGTTATCAGACAGACGGACGGACATTTTTAAATCCAAAGAAACATGGGGTCTAAAATCAATTTTTCGATGAGACACATTTTACCGTATCGAAGCAATAAGGCTGAGGGTATAAAGAGATCGTGTTTATAAAGACGGCCACAGCTATGACCCAAAATGATGTCTCTCGCCTCAAGGAGAACATATCTCTGCCTGTCTGTATAATTATGGTTATGGTAGGGCTATAATCTGTACCACGACTGATTTTTGTTTCACTAAAATCTTTCTAAACTGTTTTTCTTTTCTTCATGAGCTATGTATTTAGGAGAACAACTTTCCAAAATTTGTAACCTATTGGAAAAATAATTTTTGAATAATCGCATCTGCTAGTCGGAAAATTACAATTTCCTAATTTTGCCGCCCCTCGAGGCTTTCGTCATAAATCAATCAACTACATCGGCATGAATTGTTCGTGGTAAGTATTAAGTTCAAAAGTCGGACGGGACCGACTATATGATGCCCTTCACCGCTTTGGGTATATAGCGCATATGTATCCTTACACTTGCATGTCAATGTTCCCTCGAAGGAACATACTCATGTCTTTCTGCAATCGATGCTAAATGTAATTTCATTCGGGCAGATTTAGAGACGCCTGCGTACCATGGGACAAATTAATGGAAAACAACTTATAGCAAAATTGATACACGTTTTTTTTTGTACGCCGCATTGTTAAAAAAAAATTTTCCCGAAACTTATCATTCTAGACTCAATTCAGTACGCTATGCCAAATTTCGTGCAAATCGAAGGATATTTTGGGTGCACCCTTTACCTTAAATCGGACGAAAATATATATGGGAGCTATATGTAAACCTGAACCGATTCCCACGAAATTTAACACACATCGTTCTACACTTAATTCAGTACGCCATGCCAAATTTCGTGCAAATCGAAAGATATATAGGTACTTTGGTGCACCATTTACCTTAAATCGGACGAATAAATGAGCTGTGCCAAATTGTATGCAATTCGAATCAAAAATGTGACCTGTACTTTGTTTACAATTTACATGGACAGACGGGCGGACGGACATGCATAAATCGACTTAAAATGTGATTCTATGCATAGCCTCAAAAAGAACTATCGTTTCCTTTTACGTGTTATAAACATATGCACAAAGACATAACACCCTGTACCACAGTGTGGTGAAGGGTATAAAAAATAGGATTGCTCGAGGTGATTCTTCTCTTTTCATCTCCTGCCCTACGTCAATTTTCAGGTATTCATGATAAACAGAAGTCGCCGAGTTGGAGCAACTGGCAATCGCGCATCCTATAAGTAAACTAACAATACCTTTAGAGTAAATTTAGTGTCATTATGAATTTCAAATGAAAGTGTTTTTGCAGTGATTATTAGTTTGTACATATTTATCCTCCAATCCTATTCGATATTACACACCAGGGTCCCCTGTTACTACTTTTAGGTTGAGCCTCGACCAATAGAGTAAATTCCAAAGTTAGTACTATTCCCGTATAATCGTAAGCGCCCTATTTCGCCTCTCATCATTTGAATAGAGTTGTCATAGTCAATCACTTTGAAAAAAATACGGTTAGAGTTATAGAGAAGATTATGATGACTTGTAGCTGCTGTAGCTGTTTTTTCATCATTAAGTATTTTCTTTTTTTATGTGTATAAAAATATTTGAGCGTCTCAAATTGTATTCTTTTTTATTTCAGAGATATCTCTACTTTTTAAGTACTCCCCCACCCCCATTAATCCCCATAAGAAATTATGTTAAGAAATTAAAAATATATATAGTTTTTTTTTTAATTACATCATGTTTTTGTGTATTTGTTGTTTTTTTGTTTTTCTTTTTCTTTCTTTAAAAGTAAAAAATAAAGATTTATAAATTAAAAATGTTAATTATTATTAAATAAAAATAATTTCATTTCAATATCATCATTTAAATAAAAAAGAAGACAAATTTAAACATGTTGTTGTTGCTTTTTTCTTTCTTTAAATTAATGATACTAAATTTTGTTTTCGTTATAAAATGAGAGCTTGGTTGAAGAAACATTAGTTTTATATGGTATATATGTTGTTGTTTTTGTATTGTTTTTGTTGTATAAGAGTAGAGAAATGTGTACGAATGAGAAAAGACAATACAATTTGTTTTATTTTAATTTTGTTTGTTTGTTTTGTTTTATAATTTAAGGCGCCGCCGAGTTTTTTCTTCTCTTACTCTTAATAGCTTTAAAAAGCTCTTAGTCTTTGAGTGTGTGTAGTTGTATCGAAAAAAATAAAATAAAATAATAATAAAATGAGAAAGATATTGTATTTAGAAAACAAAATAAGTTCAACAATAATTTAGAATTATGTATTTAAACAAAAAAATATATATAAAATATTTCTTCTTCATCTTCGATTTTCTTCTTTTTCATTTTTAATTACAAAAAAATAAAGAAATGATTGTGTGTGTTTTTAGCGTTATATGAAATATTTGTTTAAAGGTTTTGTTTTTTTTTTTTTTTTGAATGGATGGCGGAATGAAACGATAAATTAAACAACAGTTCTTTCTTCTATCGTTTTTTGTCTTAAAACAAAAAATTATAATTTTCTTAAGTCCGAAAATATTCACCTTTCTTGCAAAGAACATCTTTTCGTGAACACCTCTTTGGCCTATATTTTGTTTTGAGTTATCCTTTTTGTTTTTTGAAAATAATACAAACTAAACTAAAGAACTCCATACACAACAAGGACACACAATATTTCGAAAATGCAAAATGTTCACCACACTCAGGCACTATTCAACAAATTTATGGTAGAGATGATAATGTAGCCAAAGATCCCAAAGACATTTGTTAATGTTTTTGTTTTCAAATACAACTAAAACTAGATGTGTGTTTAGTAAAAGTACGAAAAAACGTGCCATTTAGTGGGTGTTGATTTCAATTGTCATTGTTTTTGGTTCTAGAGTTTTTCAGTTTATCTTTTCGTTGCAGAGTTTCTTCTTATAAACCAACAGTTTGTTTTTCTTTTTTCATGGGAGGATTTTTCGGGGACACAACAGCCAACCTTGCATACAGACAGAAAAGGGCAGCATAGGCAAATCAAAACAAAAAATACACAAGAAAATACTTTGTATTATAAATTTTAAATAAAATTCTTAAAACACTAGTGTAAAATATTTAAATAAAAAAAAAGGAACGCTAAAAGTCGCTTACGCGTATATCTTATAAAGATTACGTTTAATAAAAGCTGTACTGTCCTTCCGTCCGACCGTTGCACTGTGATCATTAAGAAGAAATGTCCACAAAAAAAGAAGTTTGCTGAAGATACTGTGATTTCTAGTGGGGAGGGGGTTGTGGAGGAGGAGGAGCTGTTGCTGCTACTGCTGCTGCTGTTGATGATGATGTTACAATTGTTGTAGCGGTTGGAGGAGCATAACAATTTATTGGACGAGGTGTCGTTGTGTTTGTAACTGCTGTCGGTACTGCAACTGATGGTGGTGGTGGTTGTGGTGGAGGTGGCTGTAATGATGGTGGTGGAGCTGGATTTTGTGGATGATAAAAGAATATTAATGGTTAGCGTCTTACACCGTAACTGTTGCCTTGTGTCTGTGAATTGTTGCCGCCACGCATTTGTGATCCGCTACCACCATTTGAAGTACGATTATCGTTACGATTGAAAGCACCACCCATGCGAGGACCGGCACCGCCGCCGCCACCGCTGGAACCACCACGTGACATACTATTGTTGTTGCCACCAGCACTGTTGCCACGCATCATGCTGCCACCACCACTGCCCGAATTCGACAGAGATCGGGATGGTGGTCCACCACTAGACATATTACGTTGGTTATTATTCATGTTATTCATGCCACTGCCCATATTTTGACGCTGTGGCATATCGTTGGTACGTGCTCTAGGTTTTTTCTCTTCGACATTTAATTTTTGACCATCCGGTGAGTTGTCCGGGAAGTAGAGGGGCTGTGGAAAAAAACAATACATTTTGCATATTTATTTGTATATACATATTTTTAATTATACGCTTCACCACACTGTGGTAAGTGGTGAAGGGTATCATATAGTCGGGCCAGTCCGACTTTACTACTTGCTTTTTTCAATTTCAATTTATTTCACAAACGAGAATCTAGCCCAAAGGACCAAGATCGATTCAAAAAACAACAAAATATAGACCACTTCTTACTGGTTTTGTATGTATTTGGTATTCTTCCCAATAAATATTATTTCACTATAATTGTCCGTAGATGCTTTAAATAAATGTTGTATATCATCTGCATATGAATATGGAGAACAACAAGGACGAATGTTCTTGAATAAATCGTTTAAAAACTTTTAACAGGCGATAAATCAGAGAGAATACCATTCATACAAATACATTGATATCATTCAGTTAAATATGAAAATATTAATTTACAGGCGGCGTTTGGGCTGAAGCCATAAAAATGTATTAATTATCCTGTTAAAATGTTATAGTCAATCAAATCGAAGGTCTGAAGATAGCTCAAAAAGATTTCTCCTTATAGCCTGTTAAGCCCACTAGTAGCATAGATGTGCTTCGATCACTTCCAAAGCCACATTGGCAATCATCAAGCATATTGTTCTTCTCTAAATAATTATCAAGCTGTTTTAAAACAGGAAACAGAGCTATTGGTCTGTTATCCTTCTTCCTGATTGGATTAATTTTTGCTCTTGGAAACGTTGACGTCATAATGATGGTATTAGTCAAGTGTAAAATGAAAAGAATGAAGAAATATACGGAAAAATTTTGAAAAAAATTAGAGGAAGTCCATCAAGCTAAATAAAGACCGCCGGATGAAACGGATTGAAATGAAAATTCCTCATTAACAGTTATCAATGATATCAATGTTTGTACACAATCTAGCTGATTGCTAACAAAAGACGCTTTTAAGGAAGTAATATCTTCTATGGATGTTTCTTTCTCCATGCTAGTATGGTTTTCATAAATTAAACCATTGTTCCTTATTTAACTCCAAAGAGATTTAAAATTAGTGTAAGTATTAAAAAGAGCTTTGCAATTTGCCATTTTTAAATATTTTTAACTTGAAGATAAGAAGTATAAGTCAATAGATTGATTGTAACGAATTATAGGAGAAGTGATCCATTTTTCCTATCGAAAGATTTTTTGATCGTTTTCTTTGGAAATACTGAATTGATATATCTACTGAAATACAGATCAAGGTATCTTTTGAAATATAGGGACATATACAATTGACCACTACGCTGCATGCGGTTAGAATTTGTGGCTACAGCACTCTGAGACCGTTAGGTCCGTTGTGAACATCCACAAGAAGATAAGAGATAAGTAGAGATCTATAGGGGAGAGAAGATTGGGGAAATAAAGAGAGATGAGAAGCTTACAGAAAGATATAAGAAGGTAAGTTTGGAATAATGTCGATGGCTATGGAGATCAGACAGAAAATATATTACGTGTCAAGGTTGCAATTTCCCAACCACTTTAGGTTTGTAATTATGCAGGTTCGGTTGTTGAGAATAAGCTAAGACTCGGTGGAAAATGAGCACCCACTAGTCTGTGTCGCCTGTAAGCCAGGGTTGGACAGTGATACAGAAGATGCTCAATTGACTCCGTCTCCTCCTCGTCAACGCAGAGTCTACAGTAATAAGTAGCATCAAGATCCCATTTACTAGTAAAGGCCCTGATATTGCAATGACCAGCAATGATTCCTGTCATTACTCTTATTTCAGCTTTGCTCAGGTTCAACAGTGAGTGCGTTCTTTTGGTAGACAGAGTCAGACAAATGGATCTTGATACATTGTACCTAGGTTCCTTGAGCTAAAGTTCATAGGCTCTTTCGTCGAAGAACGCCTCAAGGTAAAGATGACATAGGGGTGGTTTGATAGAGTCATTAATTGCTAGATCTGTGGATTGAGATCCTCGTCTAGCTATTTCGTCTGCTCTTTCATTACTCAAGATGTCACGGTGTCCTGGTACCCAACACAGCCGATAGCTGTAAGTAAGTTCTACACTTGAGGACAGCCTCGGATTTGAAATAACAAGATTTGATGGCTTTAGGAGTCGCTTGACTATCCACGAAGAAAATCACCGGTTCAACGACCTCTGCATCCACCGCCTTCCAAATCGCAAAGATTTCAGCTTGAAAAACACTACAGTTGCAATCCAGCTTGTAGGTTAACTCAAGGCCTAGCCTTTCACAGTAGACGCCCGCCCCTGTACCTTCTTCCATCTTGGATCCGTCTGTATAGAAGGACAGATCGCCCAGAGGAGGGTTACTTACGTTCCAGTCGTCTCTACTAGGAATAATGACATCTACATCGTCAAATCTCAGGACTGGTGATAGTCGCTTAGTTTAACGCGTTGATCCTATGTCATACCTGGCTCGTTCAATATACAACCATGCTCAAATGTACAACTTCGCCAGAGGTTTTGTTCATGCAGCTTTAGGGCGCTACGCGTTGCCTGACACTTAATACTGAGGCCCAGAGGCTTAAAATTCAGCATTGCGTTCAGAGCTGCTTGTGGCGTATTCCTCCTAGCTCCTGTAACTAAAATCGAGGCCGCTCTTTGTATTCAATGTTAAGAAATAGTCGATTAATGAAATGCATTACTGAGAGACCGATCCTCAAGAATGACCGACGAACATTATGCGATTTTGCAACATCGAAGAGATTGTTGTTAATGATGTTGGGATAACGTAAAATTAGGTCAGAGATATCTGTCTCAAATGAATTAAAATCACCAGTAGGCAAATTAAATCCTGTATACGTTGCTGATATATAAATATGTATGTTTATTTTTTACTTACGCAATTTGCCAGACAATTTTGTACCGCTTCGGGATCACTGTATGTAATAAAACCATAGTTTAATGGATTTCTACCACCAGGAAGAATTTTACCACTACTCTTCGATAAAATTCTCAAATCAACGACAGAACCAAATTGGCTGAACAAAGATTTCAGTTCTTCCTCGGATGCATGATGAGGAATGTTGCCAAGGAACAATTGTTGATTGTCGCCGAACTGTTGAGAGTTACTAGTGCGACGTTGATCAAAATCTAAAAAGGCGATGGAAAAAATACATTTGTTTACAAATTAGACATATTATTACTAAAAATGTGTAGAATGGAGGTTCTACACTTTATAATTCATGAATTTTTATAGTTTTTGGATTTAATGACATATTTATTGCCCAACTATTTTAAACAATTGAACCTAATGCAAACAAAATGGTAAAACCTTTCTCTATACACATTGTGTTTTTGTTTTTTTTTTCTGTAATATACAAACCGCCGTTTTGTGGTTCGGGGTTTTTCTTTGATATAATGATGAGTATATTTCAAAGAATCATTAGATATATATTTTTAAAATTTAAATAAAAACTTTATGTTAAATTTGAATATTTTGAATTTTCCCCATTTTCATACATATCCCTAATTTAACCCTCAAAGATTCTTCATCATTTTAAATTTAAAACGATGATTAATAAAGTAATCTATAAAATTTTCACACATACCTTTATTGAATCCCTTAGTATTTGATCGTTGGGGTAATGGTCCAGCACCAGTGCCAACTTGTCCATTATTATTATCCTGACGAATGGAAGAACCATTATCGCTATTACGATTACTGTATACGGACATCGATGCCGTCGAACTAGCCGATTGAGAATATGAACTGGAGTTAATCGTGGACGCATTATTTCCATACATACTATTACCGCCAACGGATTGTTGTTGTTGCTGCTGTTGTTGTTGTTGGATTTGTTGTTGCTGTTGCATGGCAGCATTGACGAAACTACTGGGCGAGGAAGATGACGATTTGAATAGATTGGCATAGGTTTTGGGTTCGTTCTGTTGTTGCTGTTGTTGTTTAGCCGCTTCGTATTTCTCCTGTTGTTGCTGTTCATTAATGGTCTTGAAATCTTCGACCACTGGAGCTGGTGTGGGTGGTTCAAGCACTGTGCTGGGTGATGAAGAAACAGTTTGGCCACTGGCTACCACATTGGCGGCTGTATTGGGGCGAGTTTGTTGTTCAGCGGCCAATGGCACTGATGTTGCAACCGATGAAGAAACTGTATTTGCCTGATTGTTGGCTAAGGAATCGTCAACGTCAGCAACATTTGTAGCAGCAGAGGACAGAGGTGTTTGAGTTTGTTGCTGATGTTGCTGTTGTAGAGATTGTTGCTGCTGTGGCGGTTGGGAAGGTGTGTTGGGTAGTGGAGTCTGTTGCTGTTGTTGTTGCATAGGTGTTGGTATTTGCTGTTGAGGCGGTTGTGGTTGCGGTTGTTGTGGAAGGATATGTGATTGAATAATAGGTGACTGTTGATAATTCTGTATGGTGGCACCGCCAGTTGTTTGCTGCAAAGTGGTGGTAGTTGTGCCACTTGCTACGGGAACGCCACCAGCCACACCAACCGGTGTCTGAGCATTAAGAACTGGAGTATTTCCCACTGGAACAACACCTCCAGTCTGTGGCATTACAGGAGAAGGGGATTGATTAGCTAATTGCGGCTGTGGAACAGCTTGTGGCATATTGGAAATAAGTTCTTCGTGAGACACAACTCCGTTCAACTGTTGAGCAACGCCAGCAGCATTCGTCTGCACCGGTTGCTGTTGTTGTTGCTGAGGGGGAACACCGGTGGCATTAGTGAAATTTGCAGCAGCAATTGGTACAGCAGCGACCCCGGGAGGAGGTTGCAATACTGTTATAGGACGACCACCTGCAGCCGGCAATGGATAGTAAACAGGTGCTGCTGTGGGTTGTTGTGGCAATACACCACCACCAGTACCGCCACCAGCAAGAACCTGACCCGACAATGGTTGCTGCTGGTCGCTGGCAGCGTTTACCACCTGACCCGACTGGTCATTCGTAGCAGCAACAGTCTGCACTTGTGGCGGCAATTGTTGTTGCTGGTCGTGTTCTTCATCGTTTTCAGAACGAGATTCACCGTCGGCCTCTTCATCCGAATACATGTCCTGATAACGGAAGATGTCGTTGTGCACGTAGTATTTTTTGGGTGACTGGGCAGCCAGAACGAACGTCTGGGTGAAACGACGCATAGGTTGGCCATCGTTGGATAATTCACCGGTAACCTGAACCACAACACCATTGCCCAAAGTAGCCTGAGCATCGACTTGACTTATTTTTGCATGACAATCATGGAAGTTCAATTGTTGGATGCGGTTATGAATGTTCTTTTGGCCAACAACAAGTGTCGATTCGCCATGTATAAACGAAGAATTGTTATTGTAGAAACGATGCAAATGATTTGGAGCCTTGTTCAGCAACGTATAGTACTGACGGACAAATTCACGTCCAACCGATTGTGGTGATGGTTGTTGGGGTTGAGTTGCATCCATTACCATTTCGTGTTGTTGTTTCTCGTTTACCAGACTTGTTGGGTTACAGTCTTAAAATGTTTGGTGGTGGTGGTGGAGGTGGTAGTTAAGTGTATTTGTATTTTTTGTTTTTGTTTTATAAATTGGGAATTGAGATGAAAATGCGCCACAAAGCAATTACTAAACGTATATTGAGATGAATGAAGAGATATTTCTTGCTTGCTATTTCGAATATGTAAAAATTAATTGTTGTTTTTGTTGTTTATCCGTTGTTGTTGACGATTTAAATTTTTGACACTGTAATGTAAAGAGAATACAAGAAAAATATTAATGTAAAATTCAACAAATTTAATGTAAATATATATATGTTTATCACTATAATGTACTGTGTGCAGTAAAATATTGTATCACAGATGAAAATATTTAAAGCATTTATTCAACCCACACACATTCAGCTGAAAGGATATTTAAAACAAAATACTTCATACTAAGGGATCATCAGCAGCATTGACAATCTTTCATGTAACTTGATATTTTTTCCCAAACCGAATATTTCACACTCCATTTACTTTTATTAAGGGAGGAGGGGTAAGATTTTCGCCATTAAAAAAAGATGTAATTTAATCTTTCAAACAAAGACAAACACATAAATCTCCCCAAAAATCAACAACCACATAGAATTTTTGTTTTTGTCAGTCCATAACTAGATATTTTGATATCAAGCTTCACAATGCTGTTTTGTTTAATGAAAACAATAAAACAAATAAAATAAAAATATTGCAAAGTTATTATTAAATATTGTAAATACCTATATAGTTCAGAGCTAATTGAAATGAGTAAGTCTTCTTATTTTGATATTTCATTACTGATTTTAATCTACTTTTAATGAATGCCTACATTTAAAGCTTTTGAGGTCGTGATTACAAAAATATATTTATATTTTCTAAGTTTTTCCAAATTCTATCCGACAGAATCGCCGTTTATATATATATATATATACAGAGAACCGGGATTTTTTCTGAAATCCCATATCTTCAAAATGTGCAACGATATTGGTAATGCATGGTACTGTGAATGTGTCGCCAACATACTGCTATTTAGGGCAAAGTTATATGAATCTATACAAAAAAAAAATGGAACAAAATTCCTCTGCTAGGATATACCGACAATCGCTTCGTTTTCGAACGGACCATTTTATCTTGATACCTTCTCTTCATGCTTAACATTTGAAATGCCGAAAATTGCGTTCAAACGCAAAATCTGAAAACCCCAAAACGTTGACTGATAACGATAACGCATGGTAAAGTACAAAATCCTCAAACTACTCTAATTTAGTTTGATATGTTATATGAGGCTATATTGACCAATATTGATTACTATTATATGAGGGCTATGACTAATCACTGGCCGATTCAATTCTTTCCTTCAGGAGGGATAGGTTTGGGATGTCCAGTTACTAATGTGGGTGCAGCACTCTGAGACCGTCAGGTCACTAATGATCATCGAAGAAAAGAAAAATATTTGGAGAGATCTATGGGGGGATAGAGAGAGAGATGAGAAGCATACAAGCAAGTGTGAGGAGGTAAGTAAGAGATAGTATCGATGACTTTAGAGATTGGATAAAAAATATATTACGTGCCAAGGTTGCACTTTACCAACCACTTCGGGTTTCTAATGATGCTGTAGATTAGAGCATGTTCCGATTCCTGTCATTACTCTTATTTCAGCTTTGCTCAGGTTTAAAAGTGAGTGTGTCGAAATTTGGTACCCAATGTACCAAATTTAAGCTAATTCGGTTGAAAACGCGCTCAAGATCCCCAAAATATCGAAAATTGGGGGCCAACCTTATATGGGAGATATGCCTAAACATAGACTGATATATCACATCTTCGAACTTAACCTGCATGCAGACAAAAGAAAACTATCTATTTCAATTCGTTTAGAGGCGATAACCCCTATATTTAATATAAGCCCATATTCGTAACAAGAAAGTTAAGTTGCCCAAAACGTCACACTTTTAATAAAAGGGATGTGTTGTCACGGAACTTTGAAAACCCATACCTCTGGAAGTATGGAATTCCATAGAAATTATATAGTTGTAATTAGGATCAAAGAGCCCCACAAATGGTGAAATTTCCAAAAGATCCGCGATTGGGCCTTAAACACGACTTCAGTCCGATATCCATATGTAAGTAAATCCTTAATATTCTAATATCCCTAAAAAATCGCAAGATATAAAATAAGTCTGCACATGATCTAGTTATCCTGCATCTTTTAAAACTATATTTTGTAAATTGATTTACAAATTATATAATAAATAAATAAAAAAAGTCTGATAAGTCTATGCAAACATTTTTTTAATTTATATTTTTTAATATTAAGCACAGAAGGTCGCCACAGATCAAGTCTCCAAAAAAAAGCGACGGCGCGCCGGTTAAATTCATTGGCTGCAATCTCTGTGCGAATGAAGTAACTACAAAGAAACGAAATAACAACAAAACGCGTACACGAACGAAGAAGCAAAGAAAAAAATCGCAGAAATGGCTCCCACCAATTTTTTGTAGCTTTTTGTTCTTTTTTTTTTTTTTGTCATGAAAAATTAATAAGGAATAATAATGACAAAGAGAAATTCAAATACATTTTTTGTCTGGTTAAGACCTACAACAAACATTTTTGACCAATTTTAGGTTAGGTTTAGCCGGAAAAAAATTACTTGAAACATTTCTGCATGAAATGTATGAAGAAAATGACACAATTACAACAAAGGAAACAAGTGCCGCCGCCGCATGGTTTGCACAAACGAAACGAATAGACCCGTAAATACATACGTACATAAGTTGAGAAGAGTAGGGAGAGTTGGAAAAAGGAAAAAATAACACACACACGAAATACTTTCTTACCAAGATCCAGTTAAATAAAGCACTTTGTTGTATTATTGCTTGTTTTTTTGAAGATTCTTCTTATTGTTGTTGTGGTTGTGGAGAAATACTAAGGCTGGAATATTTTTATATTTCGACTCTTTTTTCTTTTAGTATGGATGGTTGTTAAAGGATGTGTCCACCAAAGATTTTTCCAGTTGCTCTTTTTTCTTTAAATATTTCGCCCTTTCGACAGACACACATACACACAGCGCCCGCTAGCTAACCAAACTGATGATAAATGCCCCGTTGCTTATTTGATTTTTGTTACTTTTATATGAGAGAGATAATTTAAAAGCTACGTTTCTGTTTCGTTAATTATTTCAAACGAATTTTGTGTAATCTTATTAAAAAAAATAGAAATTATTTTTATTTTTGGCGTTACTTTTTTCTTTTAGTTCCCCTTTACTTCTTTGCGTCCATCCAAGTAGTGTAGTGTGGTTTCGCCTTCGTCTGCTGCTGCTTCTGCTTGCTAATACTCTTCCTCTTCTTCTTCGTCGTCGTCTTTTGTGTATTTTTGCAATTCTACGTTTTTTCTCTTTGTAGCAGCAAAAGAAAAAGAATTTTTATTCGCGCTTTGTATTTATGTGTACTTCTCGGCTGTCGGCTGTTCTATTTCAATTTTGTCTCCTAAGAATTGTGTGTTCAACACAATTTTGTTCTATTCTTTTGAAAATCACAGTTTTGTTAAAATTTTCTTTTTTACTATTTTTATATGTAAGTGCAGTGCTTTTTTTGTTTTGTATATGCGAAAAATAATTGCAAGTTTAGCGTTGAAATTGAAGTGTGTTGAAAATGAACTCTTTTTTTCTCTTTTGTTCTTTTTCTTTAGGCAGCTAGAGCGGGATGGTCATATGGTGAATGGTGTGAGAGGACGGTATTGTCTGGGCGGAAATAAATAACCGCATAATAAAACGGTTACTTAATCTCTCTGAATTGGTGGTTGTTAGGTTAGCATGACAAGAGAAAAATAGGAGTTGTGGTCACACGACAAGTTTAAGAAATAATCATAAATTTTTATATGCTAAAATTCACATTTACATACACGATTTTAAATCGATTCGATTAACGAAATCCAGAAATCATACAAAATTACTAATTTGCGCCAAAAATATTAGTTTGCAATTTAAAAATTAAAGTTAAAAAAATCACTTAAAGACACAAAAATTCTATAACAACAGTTGCAAATTTTGGTACATTGTGAGAGGGTTGATTTTTTTCGTACAAAAACCGCGTTGCATCTTATTAGTATAATGATTTCGATCATTATTTAAAATAAACCCTACTGCACGATGATTTAAATTGGTGTGGTATATCATGGTAAATTTAACCTAATTAGGAAAATAAACCCTGATTCGTCCATTAGTCACGATCAAATTTTATATGTAAATCCGCTTTAAATTAATATATTAGTACCATTGTACAATTATTATTGCCTTATGGGCAATAATGTTAGAATAAATGAAAACAAATGCAACAAGTCGTTCTGTTCATTTGACATATTTTTAACATTTTACCAAAAAAAACGCGAAAAGTGAATGTAATTCCAGGTTTTCTTTTCAAATCACTTTTCCTAGACATTGAGATTTTGATAAAGACATTGTCATTAAGTAGAAATACATAGATTTAATAAAAAATCTACAATTATCTCACTTGTTGTTGTTTGTGGTGATGAGTAGAGACGAAAATTATTGCCTTTTTGCCTTCTGGGGGCAAAATACCCAACAAAAAACTAAGGGAACAGATGAGGATCAGAGCGAGATCCGAAACTATAGTCTTACCCCTTGGTGGACAATGCCACTAATAAATAGTTTTTTTTATGAAAACATAAAACTGTTATTACGCCTGCTTATTTTGCAAAACCAAAACATAATGGTATCCCAAATAACCTGCCAACACTAATGAAGTTTTCTCATTAAAAGTTAGCAAATATAAAGAAATTGACTATATAGAAAAATACTTTATATAAATATTGAAATAAAATTATTATGAAATATAATTTTTTACTATTTTCAAATATGTCATTCGTCATATGTAAATGGTTACGGTTTCAAATATAAATTTTATTTGAAAATGACAAAGTCAAGTACAGAGTTGCTGGGGATGCATTCATCGAATTAGCAAATGAGATTACCTTGTACAATTATGCCATGGATTTCTTCTTACAAAAGTTCTAAAATTCCTCTTCTAACAAATCGACAGTCACACATTTTGTCATTAGATTTGTCAGATAGATGGGCATTTTCGAAAAATGCAAAGTCAATGTGTATTTGTGAAATTGTCTTATGCATCTTCTAAACGCAGTAGAGTTTATAAATTATTTGGGATACCATTTGTATTCTGTTATAGCACTGTGTGTATGTACAGTGTGTATGTAAACACTGTATATGGTGTGGAATTACGAAATCCTGAAAACTAATTTAACTTAATTATTATATATATATATATATATTACATTAGATTTTTAACCTCCTCTATGGATCTACTGCATTTAATATTCGGTACAGTGTAAACTCATTTCGGCAGATTGTTATATTATCAATAAACCCGCATGTATATTAAAACATTTTTCAGATTTAATTTTCTCTATAAAATCCACTCGATCTGAAATGTCAATTCCATAGAGTATATGTCAAATATAACACAGCAAGATCTATTAATAAGGTCACTCAGGTAGCAATCGAAATCGGAAAATAGCTGTTTTTTCTCAAGTCTAATGTCAAAAATTTGGACTTTGTTTACGTTCATGGTACAATTATAAAAGGTAACAGCAAAATTCAGCTGATTTGATTCCAACATAATACTAGTTTCAATATGAATATGACAAATTATGTTTTTAAAAATCACCCAACAGGAAAATTTGGAACGCATACAATTCGAAATTGTTCTTTATTAAATGCCCTCCAGTATTCAATTTTCTCAACCTGCCAGCTGGGAAAGTTTGAGGAAGCAAATCTTTCTTCATGGAATAACTCGCAATTCCCAGCATTTTCATATGTGTTACACATATCAGTGGCAATGGTTCAATTGTAGGAAAGATGTGAAAGCGATAGAAATATAAATTTGATAGATTTTCATTCATGTTTTTTCAATTTTATTTTGAGGATTCGAAAATATTGCATGTTCAAAATAAATATAATTTGTTGATAATTTGTTTACATTTTTCTGTCAAATGACGTTGACACAAATATAACTTACAAAAACAAATTTCCATGTGGTTGTTCTATTGCTTTTTGTACAACAACACTTGATGTTACCTTCTATTATTATACCATGGTTTATGTTTTTATAATGGAAGTAAATTCACAATAATGTATTTTGACAGAAAACTTGAGTGGCAGCTGATATCCAGCTGGTCTCCCTGGGTATGTTCACAGGATTTGTGAACATAATTAAGGTGGCGAATACGCTAATAAATCTACTTAAAATATATTAAATATGTACGTTTGTGATATATTTATAATGCTTTAGGAAAAAAGTAGATACATTAAAAGGCAAGTGCATTATAACTTTTTACCGGGTTAACCTATTTTATAATGATTTATTTCACATATATACAATGGAATTGATAATTTAAAACCACAAGTTTAATGAAATCCAGTACAATGTAAACTAAGACTTTATTGGATATAATCTGAATACTCTTACATATTCGATTACAAATTGAATTGTATTTTTTCATAATATTTTGATGCTGTAAAAGAGACAAATGTAGACATAATTTTAGTCTTCTGTATACAGATGTTAGAGAAGTGTATTCACTTTCTTTAGATTAATATTACTTTAAAACCTGTAAAATACGACTCAATTTGTTTTTTAATATATATAATTTTTCCTATTCATTATGCAATACAATTAAAATAAATAATAAATAAGTGCCCCAAAATTTTTTATTTTTCGTAATATGCAACTCCGTTAGCATTTAAGGAGCCATACATTTTGTTTACATGTACCAGTTGCATGAAAAAGTACTTGCATACCAACATTTGCAACCCTTATTCAGCAAGCACAAAAACATGTTTGTACTCAGCTAGTCTTTTTTCTTCTTTGACTTCTGTCTTTTCCGGCCATTACTGTAGTCATCAGCTATACCGCTAGTGTCGTTGCAAAAAAAAGATATAAAAAAAGATTTTGGGGGACAAAAAAGTATTGTGTTTTATCAAAAAAGTAGAAGAATAAAGTGAAATCGTTTTTAAATTAATTAACTTTTCACAACACCACACACACACAAATAACGCAATGGCTGACAACAAGAATCAGAATCAAGATTGTGAAATGAATGGCGAAGATTTTTCCCAGGACGTCAGCGCTTCAAATAACGAGAAAGAAAATGGAGGTACTGCCGGTACCACCAATGGAAACACGGAATCAAATAATACTACACGCGATGACGACAGGTATTTACTAAAATGTCTAATCTCTATATAGCTGGTTTATAACGCTGAGTAATACTGAAGCGTATGCGATTTACTTCCAAAAAATATGTGTGTTACGTAAAGAAATATCTGCTGTGAGGGAGCTTTTTTTGCAGTAAATTTTATTCTGTACCCCAAAAAACAGAAAAGCAATGGAAAAATTAGAGAGTGGATTTTTAATTTTTTTTGTCTTTGTACATATATCTCTTGATGTATGATGGTTGTATAGTTTCTTTTTTGGTTTCATGTAATTTTTTCTATTGAAAATGGTGATTGGCTTGCTGGCTGGATGAGTTGTATGTGTCTCCCTTAATGGGCGCGTGAATGTACATACATACGTACGACTGTACTTCAATTTTTCAGGGGAAAATTGAAAAGCAAACGCCGCGCCATTTTATTGGTGTAATTGTAAAAAATTTTGTTGTATTTTTTTTTTAGTTTTTATTACATTTGAAAACAATGTTGTTTTGCATTTTATTGGGGGCCATTACTCCACTCCTTTACCTGACTGAAAGCTGCTGTTTTTTCTTCTTCTGTTCTGTGTTGTAGAGAAAGTGAGGTTAAGAATTCCTTTCGTTTTGAAACGCGTGCTTTGGTTTCTTGGCAATTTTTTTATTGTATTGTTTCTTTTACTACGCTCATTCATCGTGTATTTTTTATTCATTTCTGTTCGATTCTCAAAATGGCGGTTCGTTAGTTTGCACTGCTGCCGCCGATTCTTATTTACTTCCATCCATCACCATTTTTGTTTTGTGTTCATATTCTTTTGATTTGTGTATTTAATATTCACCGGTCGCCGCCGCTGTTTTTTTTTGTTTGTTTGTGTATGTATGTGTGCGTGCGTGTAGGGTATACAGATGATGATAACTTCTCATCAACGGCATTAGAATTGTTGACAGTTTTCATGTTTGGTTTTTGTTTGGAAAATAATACTTGTTTTTCTAATTTCCTATTAAATATAAGTATATATGTATTTTCAAACTATTTACATAAAAAGTGTCATTTGGATTGTCAATTTCCCTTGTTAATATAAATTTATATATAATATAAGGGTTCATTTAAACCAAATATGTTTTACGGAAGTTGTAATTTATTTGACATGTAGACAAGGGGAATGACAAATTAAACTACGATTAAATTATTGCTTATTATAAAACACGTTCAGTGTATTAGTACATTTACATTGTACTGGATTCAGTAAATACAGTGAATTTTAAAGCGGATTTACATATAACATCTAATCGTAATTAATTAAAGGTACGTTTAGATTTGAGAAATCCACTTGATCTCAAACAAGGCACAATGAATAGGTAGTCCATTTTGCGCAGCTGATGTCTTGATTAACTGTCAAAGTGGGTAATTTCTACTTGAATTCTATGTGCAATTTGCAATTTCTACAATTTTGACAGATAATCGAGACAAAAACAAAGGTTTTTGTTTTGATACATCACCTCATTATTGCATCATGATCTCAAATGTAAATTCCATAATTATGTTTTTTTAAAAAAATGACCCAATGAAAACACATAAGAGGACTTTCAGTATTGGCATGTTAAGTTGGCTTCTTTTATTTGACTCTGATATTTCTTTATAAATTGACAATTCATACGAAGCCATCTTAACAGCGCAGGCCTAAATCTCCGCGTTTGTTTTTCCCCCTTACTTAGCACTAAAAACACTAAATGCAACGATAAACATTTTATTGCAAAAGTCGATGAAATTTCCCTTGGGATTCGTGTATTTCCAATTCGTTTTAACCAAGGTTTATTCATAAGGTTAACAGGGAGGCGAATTGATGCCTTAGTCTTTACTTGCTGTCAACATTTTAATCGCGAAATACAAACCAGAACAGTATAAAAACTCAAAATATCTTTCAAAAAACGTAATGATAGTAATGTGCACGTATATTTTGATTCAAATAAAAATATTTTTTTTTGTTTATTTTTTCTTCAAACACTAAATTCGACGTTTTTCACCACAAAAGTAGAACACATGAATTTATATGAATGCTACCGAAATACTTCAAACGTACAAAATTTCAAAAAATACATACCTTTTTAATTTTTTTGCCCAGATTTTACGGCATGGGATCGGATGAGGTCGTAAGAACTACGGTTCCATTTTTCTTCACATCTTTATTAAATTGTCTTCGGTTCAAAATTGTGTTGTATGTAGCTGTGTAATAGATCAGATTTTAACATCTTTATTGTATTCAATTGTAAATAAGCAGATTTTATTATTTTTTTTGGCAAAATGGAGTAGTCGTTACTCTACATGCCATGCGGCGATCACAGGATAATGTGGATTGGAGATTTATTTAAATATTGGGTATTATAATATTTTTTTCTGAATTCCGATTGCAAGACCCCTGCTTAGAATGGAATAATGGAACTCTAAAATGATTATATTAATGAAAAATAAATAAATAATTTATCAGTCAACTGGAAGGGGTAATGTCATGTTCAGTCATACCACTGAAGCTACAAATATTGTGGTTTCAATTTAATATTCGAAATTTTTATAGTATTTTGAGGAATTCCGATTTCAGTCGCGTGATTATCAAAAAAAAAAAAAAAAAAATGCAACTAGTTTTATTTATTTTTTTTTAATTTTAAAACCTATTTTTGTTTTGTTTTATCAATGGTCACTCCCCTCGAAGGCTGGAGAGTCCGTCCTATTTGTGTGTACAAACTACAAATAGTGTGTATAATTTGTGCGACTACGATTTTACAAAATGAAATAAGAGACATTAATGAAATTTAATAAAATTAAAATTTCTTTCCCGACTTCATGATCTTGATTTTTATTAAAGTCTTTTATACTTTTATTTTTAGTGTGAAATTATTAGTTCTTTTTATTTTTTATATAAACAAATATCAGTGATTGGATTCTTTTCACAAGTATAGGAATATTGTTGTAATATTAGTGTATAATCATATTTAAAACACCATTTTTGTATTTTTATTTAGTATTGAAATTTGAAATTGTTGTTAACGTAAATAAATGTTTGCAAAATAAAGAAATATATTCAAAAAATACATATATAATATTGTTGTTTGTTTTTTTTTCTTTCCTCCAACTGCTCCTACTGCTCTCTGAATCAAAATGATTTTCTATACAAATTAAAAAAAAATTCTCGAAATCTCCATTTACTATTTAAGCGCAAGATATCCAATCATTGTTTTAGTATTAAGCCTTAATGATAACTATATATTTTAAAAAGAACAACAAAATAAAAAACGACACATTTTTAATTTAGTCAGTGGGGTTATTTCTTTTTGCTGGATATAATATGAAAACATAATGATAAAGGAAATAAATGTATAAAACACATTTGCCGCCTCGCCTCGCCCCCTTACCACTACTCCTTACAACTCACTATTTATCTCCCACATATATATTTATCAGTTAGCGTGGTTTTATATTTGTCGGGATCGGGATCGGTGTTGAGAGTTTCTCTCCCTCTCAGTGGTAAATTGTGAATTGTGTTGGAAAACATTAACACAGGTAGGAAAAAAAAGTACGAAAAGGTACCTAAAATTCTACTTCAAATGATAATAAATCATAATTACCGAGAAATATTGGTCAATATTTATACCTGTTATATGCGTAAATAATATATGTTATAATTTAAGCGTAAATGTATTCACGAATAATAAAAAAATCACACATTCGTACCTTTTGTGAACAAAAAGTACGCTTGTTACAAAATTAAAAATAGCGCAACTCTAATTACTCTCTCAGGAGAGAGAAACTCTCAACACCGATCCCGATCCCAACAAATATAAAACCACGCTTATAAATTATAAAAAAAAACACACACACATACACAAGACACTCATTTATACTCTACTACTATTCAATAATTTTCCTGTTGTGTTTGAGCGAACTAATTTTGTTCCTCTCCGGCAGGTACTATAAGCCACAATAACAAACCTACTACTACTATAGCTTCTAAGTGTGGAGACATGTTTCCAAGCATACAACAACAACAGCTCGATTGTGCTGATGATGATGATGAAGATGAATGATGAGAGAATGAATGAGAGATATTGGTGATGATGATGATAATAGTGTGCCTATAAAATAGTATCACCTGGAAAGCAGTGGTGTTGCTGTGTGCCGCCTGCCCAACAATGCGATGATGATGCCAAACAACGGCACAACCAACCAACCACCAGACAGACCAGACCGACCGACAGATATCCTTCCATTCAACCAACGATGCGCTCTTGTTGCTTGCTTTCAACATACTACGCCTCTTCATGAAAGACGATGGTATTTATCATAGTAAAGCATACATAAAAAATACACCAAAACTCTAGTTTGTCGCAAAATGAAAGAAACGAAAAAAAGATTGGATTAAAGTTTTATCGAAAATAAAAAAAAAACATTTATTATTGTATATCTCTTTTCAAGATCTCTTGTTGTTGTTTTGCCGATTTGTAAATGATCTTTTAGTATAGAATCGATTGATCGCAAGTCTCGTCTCGTCTTGTATATATCTCTCTCGCAACCAACCAAAAGAAAGTTCCTACACAAAAAATGAAAACGAAAATCTAAAATCATCTATAAAATGAGAGCGGTGTTGCTTTAACGATTTCAAGTAATTTGTTGTTGTTGTCACATATTAAAAAAAATAATAAAATACCGAAGAAGATATTGATTTTAACACAATTTTTTGGCCTATATTTCACTTGTTTCTCTCGCTCGCTCGTTTGCGTCCAAGTAGTGTGAATAAAATCAAACGTAACGTAAGATAAACTCGTATTTACATATATATTTTTCTTGTTGTCATAACTTATTGATATACTATTTTAAATTTACTTGTTGTTGTAAACTCGCCACAATTCTTCCTCCTTTGATATAAATATATTTTTGGTAATAATGAATTTTAATTCAAATTTCATAAATATTTGTAAGTTTTCTGCTGGAAAAAAAGAAGTATCACATTTTGAACGTGTTTGTTTTTGCTAATATCTATTATTTAACGTAAAATTTTTCAAAAATAAATTTTGAAAAAAAACATGTAACATTTTTTTTGATACACAAAATTATTTATATATTTATTGTAATTATATGCATACATATATATTTTTTGATAATTTTTTAATGTATATTCTTCGTTTTAATTTTAATTTGCAGAAAATTGTTTGTTGGTGGCTTGAGCTGGGAGACCTCAGAAAGTAAGTAGTATAAAAAGACATTAGAGATTCCCTCCTATTTTAAAATTTTTTTATTATTTCATATATTAACTTAAATTTTTTTATTTATTTTTTTTTTTTCAGAGGAACTACGTGAACATTTCAGCAAATTTGGAGAAATTGAAAGTATTAATGTTAAAACCGATCCACAAACTGGTCGTTCACGTGGTTTTGCATTCATTGTCTTTGCATCGACCGATGCTATTGACAAGGTCAATGAGGCCGGTGAACATGTTATTAACAACAAAAAGGTTGATCCTAAAAAGGCCAAAGCTCGTCATGGTAAAATCTTTGTTGGTGGCTTGACAACCGAAATCAGTGATGATGAAATTAAAACATACTTCAGTCAGTTTGGCAATGTACGTTTCTAACTTCAATCCTTTTTTTGGGTCACAATTTTTAATGCGTTTCCTTTTTTTCGTTTCAGATTGTCGACGTTGAAATGCCATTCGACAAGCAAAAGTCTCAACGCAAAGGTTTCTGCTTTATTACATTCGATTCAGAACAAGTTGTTACTGAATTGTTGAAAACACCCAAACAAAAAATTTCCGGCAAGGAAGTTGATGTTAAGCGTGCCACACCCAAACCAGAAAATCAAATGATCATGATGGGTGGTCGCGGCGGTCGTGGTGGCATCCGTGGTGGACGAGGCGGTTATGGACGTGGAGGTGAGTTACTCATAAGTAGATAATTAGTAATATGTACAGTTGCGAAAAATAACCCATTCATTAAAAAAAAAACTTTAAATGGAGTAACGTTTTATGGACAGATGCAAGTAAGATTGTGCTGCGTATGGGGAAAAGGTTCTCGAGCATATGTCAGACAACCACCGAATGCGCAGAATATGATCTAAAATATACGATCAAAATGGACATGCTTTTCCTATTACGTGGTAGGGCCTATACATAATATTAAAGGATCAGCATGTTAATGTTGATATATTGCAAGACAATTATGTTACCATATGCAGACTACGAAATGTGATTGTCATGGGTCATTGTCATTGTGAGAAAAAGAAAATGATATCATCATGTATGGTAACAAATCTGCCTACTAATTATTAATATTCACCCCGTATTAAGGTTAGTTCCCATGTAACCAAATTTTTTTATTAAAATAGCAGATTCCGTGAGTTTAGGTTGTCCCCATATAGGCATATTCTACCATAGTATAGGGGATAGTCGTTACTCGAAATAGTCAGTTATACTCTACAAATTATGGAATTCTAAGACGAGATTTAGTCATCGCTTGTAATCATTCCGCTTTCTAAGGAAATCGTGATAAAAACCTCTAACGATAATGAAATATATCGGCCAGCATTTAGGCACTCTCCTCCATATAATTATACCTCCCGAAGGAAAGAATTGAGACACAAAACAAAAATATTGGGTTCGAAATTGTCGTTCATATAATTATAACCCCTAATATTCGCTAATTCCTACACTAAATCTAAATTGCAGTAGTTTTTGAGGCTTGTATATTTTACCATGCGTTATTAGTATTAGTCCACGCTTTGGGGTTTTCATTAAAAATTGCTGAAATTTGTATTTGGTGTACATAATGGTTTATATAAACCGGTTTGTAGAATTATAGGTACAGCAGGTCACATTTAATTGACAAGTCATGTGGTGTAATCTTGTTTGTTTTGGAAAGATCAAGTGAAGTTTTTTTTTTTTGAAAACTGAAATAACTAGGCAATTTTTTTCATTTCAAATAGGTTATACACATCAATGGTCCGGTGGTCCCGGTGCATACCCCTCATATGGTAACTACGGCTACGATGCCGGTTATGGCGATTACTACAGCGGTGCCGGCTATTACAATGGCTACGATTATGGCTACGGTAAATACCAAACACCTTATAATAGTAACACACAAACCAATCCTAATTATTACAATAACAATCCCAATGCCACATATCACAAAAATAATAGTAATTATCAGCAATTCAAGTAAATTAGAAGAAAAATTAGTAGTATACAAAAAACAAGAACAGAAGAAGAAGAAAAAAGAAATGTGTGTGCATATATAGAACAAATAAATGAAAAAAACACCACCCCCCAAAATAAAGCACATTTAATCAAAAAAGAAAAGAAACATCACCTACAAGAATACAAGAAAAAGAATCCTAAATAACACAAAATACATAACAACAAACATTAACACACAACAAAAAAGAAAGATATAAATTATGACATTTTTTTAATAAGCAATTTTTTTAATGAATTGTTTAAACAAAACAACAACTGATGATGATTACTATTATTTTTCATTGATATTTGATTAGGAAAGTTCACTTTTTAATCTATCTATATATATACCATAAATATATATAATGCCTTATATATACAAAAAAATATTATATTCTTTAAAAAAAAAAATTTGTTTGATTTTACAAGAAAAACAAAAACAAATCTTAGACAACAATAATATTTAACAAACGTAATTATTTTCTTTGCAATTATAAAACAAAAAAAACCAACAATAAAAACTAAATTTAACACATTTATTATTTTTTTCTTTCACATAATAAATATTCGTACTATATAATAATAATTCCTTTTAAAACTTCTTATATTTTCTTTTAATTATATAATTTGTTTTGATTTTATTTTTAAATAATAATAACAAATTTGTTTCAATATTGGTTAAAATTCAAATGATGACGAAAACTAGATTTTAAACGTAATTTCCAACATTAACGTAAAAATAAACAAACAAACAAATAAAAAAATGAACATCAAATTCATAAAACTGACGAAGCTAGTGTGTTACAACAACATAATATTAAAAAGAACAAACAAAACTAATCATGAATGTTAATGTTTTGGGCGTATGCGAACCAAACGGATGTGTACCAGCCAAACAAAATTAACATTCTTTTTTAAATCATTACCAAGAAATGTGAATGAATATCCCTTAAAAAAGAGAAGTACAAGACGGACGATCAGGTGCTGCCTAACTCTTCTTAGAGATGATAATGAAATAGGGATATAAACAACGATAACTAAGTACTGTAATTCTTCCACCAATTTATGTTGGTGGTGTGCAGCAGCAAAAACAAAGAATAGTTTTGAAAGGAGGAGGAGGGCGGGAACACCAACCACCTTATCCATCCTCCTTATGAACATCATATACCTCATAGTGCCAAACATATTTTCCCCCCTGCCCTAAGAGCTGTTTATACATATGTATGTTGCCTTTTATTACACCTATAGATATGGGTATATACTGAAGTAGTAGATCCTTTTTGATCTCTCCTTAACATTAAAAAAATATTAGACAAAGCATTGAATAGGCTACAAAAGAGAGACACTAAACTTCAAGAAGGAAGAATACGAGTTTTTTTATTATTAAAAAAAAAAAAAAACACTTGCAACAAGAAAGCAATAACGCCGGATTCTCTTTTTTATGTTGGACAGAAGAAAATAAAATACCAAACCAGATATAAAAAAAATGTGCCTTTGTGATGATGGGTGGGAATAACAAATGTATTTATATTATAGACCTGTTTCACCTTATATTATGTCGCCCCCACATGACTAGAATCAATGAATGAATGCTGAGCAAAGGACAAGTACAATTTTCAAACAGCAGGTCTTAATTCAATAAATGAATGCATTTTTTTTACGTTTCGCATATTTTCTTCCGTACATTTTTTTAAGAAAAGGGACATTTCAATATCACAGCACCATCCGACGAAACTCAAACGGTCATATTAAAAGAAAAAAAAACATGTCGGAGTATTTTCCAAAGAAAGTACTACACCAGAAATGAAATGTCGGCGGGGTCTAGCTTGGCAATAAAAATAAGTATCATATGATCATTTATATAACCACCAACCAACTTCACAATGTGGTGGGTGGTGGTAGGCTGTGTAATACTTATTTGATGACGTTTTTTTTTGTCAAGACTAAATGGAGTATAGATCGCCGGGGAAAGGTGTTTCCAATATATTTTTTTCGAATCACTTTTCTTTCTGGCGAATTCTTCCCATTCGATGTGAATACAAATTTTTAATGTATTCAATAGGCTTAGATGGATGGATCCCTTTTCAAACATATTCTAACATATATATTCTTCTAGACTACCCATAAATCCCCTAATAATTACATAGAGTTTATTTATTTTTATATAAATACATATACATATATATTTATTTAATAATATAACAAACATTTGGCTTTAAGCCAAATCAAAAAAACAAACCCAAGCCTTTTTGTTGTGTATCACTTTTTGTGATGCACAATTTATTATATATTGTATAGAAAAGGTGTTATATTTTTTTTATAACACTTTCTATTATTATATTATTTGAATATAGGAGGAGATTGATGATGTTGCATATATTTTTATTATGCAACCAAGATAGAGAGAGAGAGAGAGAGAGAGAGAGTTATACAAAGAATTGGGTGAAACTCAAAATAAACCCAATTTATTTTAACACACACACAAATACATGTTTATTATTAATTTTTCCTTGGTGTGGGTGGTATATTCCTTTGAGGCCACATGCCCGAAAGTATTAGGATTTATTTGTGCAATACACATTTGTATAATTGTTGATTATATCAAACACGATCTCAACAAAAATGAAAAAAGAAACAAATCCTACGAATTTGAAACTAAATTTGAGGAAGCAAATTCTCACCTCGCCCACCACAGGAAAAACATAATAAATCAAAAATCTTTTATTTGCCTACGGACGATAATTATTTTAAAAATATATCCTCTGATAATTTTTTCACAAAACAACCAACCAACCAACCAAAGACATTTTCTTTCACTTCAAAATCATGTTTTTTTTGGTCCAGCAAATAATAAACATTTTTTTTTGTAATAAAAAAATAATATGCGTGCGTAAATGCGGCGTTTAATTTTTCTGTTATTGTTTAAAGCTAACACACTTCGTCAATTTTGAATCGAAAAAAAAAACACCATTAAATATTGTCTATTTTTTAATAATAAATTTTAAACAAGATTTGAAACAATTTTTAATAACATCTATATATATAATGATTTTAGATGCTACACAGCTAAAATGCAACTTTCCATAATCCGCCCAACAATGAATGATGAAAATACACAAAATAAAACAATTACAAAATTTGTTTTTGTTTTATTTTTTTCGTTTCGTTTTTGTTTATGGATTATGGGTTTTCTGCTAGTTAGTAGTATGTCTTAAATTTCTATATATATTTTGGTTTATAAAATAATTATAATAATGATATATAATATTTCGATAATAATTAACAATTTGATTTAAATAAATTTTAAAACTATATATCTATGTAATATCCATTATGTAACACTATTTTTATATTATTATTATATATTTGAAAAAGTCAATTTTTTTAAACATAATTAATCCCCCCTTGCATGTTTCTCTCGATGTTTTTACTCTTCACAAACAAATCTTATTTTAAAATTTAAGTTTAAATTTTTAAATGAAACAAAAACTTGATAGTTTTTCAAAACAAAAAACTTTAAAAATTCTATTGTAGTTTTTGTTTTTAATTTAATATATTACAACAAACATTTTCATTATATGTTTATTTAAAACAAAAAATATATTTAAAAAAACATTGTAATGCCGAATTTTCAAATGTTTCGCCTCACAATACACACCATTTTTTATTATATATATATTTACCCCTTGGATAATTTCCACAACAACGTTTTTTTCTATAAAAATAAGTTCAATTTTCTTAACTTTTAACCTGGTTTTGTGGTTAATTTTTTTTTCATCTGGTAATTAATTTTTAATAGTAATTCTTAGTTTAACTTTTGTTATGTTGTAGTTTTAAATTTTAATTTTTTGTCTTGAATTATTTTTTTCCACCTTTTTTCTATTAAAACCCCAAATTAGATTTAGTTGTTTGAATTTTTTTGCGCAAAAGATGAATAAAACCTTATAGTAATACTAAAAAGAGAAGAAGAAAAATGTAATAATTAAATATTTAAAGGTAATTTGTTTTTGTTTTTCTAAAAATCAAATAAAAACTAAAGAATATATAATTAAAAAAAAAAAATTATTAAAAAACACACACTTTTTTAATCATAAATATTTTTGAATATCCACAAACAAAAAAATGGAAACTTCTTTGTTGAATGAATAAAATCCAAATACAACTACACACATATATATGGTGAGGTGAGACATTAAAACACACAAAGAATTAGCAATTCCGAAAAAATTCCAACCAAATGGTGGCGGAAATATACCCCCCAGGGTTTTTCCAATTTACACACAATTCAAAATTTGTTGTATTTTTGAGACGATTTCGAATTTCCATTCGAATCGTCACCGATTTTTTATTTAAACGCTGCTAATATTGTTGTGTGGGAAAATAAGGTAAAAAAGAAAATCACAAATTTTATTTTTGTTAAAAAAAATTACATTGAGAAAACATGAGAAGAACAAAGAAATAGTTTTCAGCATTATAATGAAAATAAAAAAGAAACGAAAAAGAGAGAGATATGCAAATTTATAAATTATTTTTTTTTGTAATACGAAAAAACAGAGTTTTTTTTGAAGAGCCAGCGCGCCGCTTTGCGCCCTTTTTTTCAAACATTGTTTTGATGAAATATGAAAAATAAAAACTTAAAAAGAGAGAATTATATCAAAACAAGTAACAACTTTTTAAAACATCCATTTTTTATTATTGTTTTTTTTATATATATATATATAATTTCAACAACACCGCATCAAAAAACAACTATGCCTTTATAATTTCTTATAATTAGTCATATATATCTATGTACGTATTTACAAAAAACAAACAAAAAAAGAGAGCAAATAAAAGTTATTAAAAAAATCCACATCATTGTTTGTCTCTTTTTTGGTTTCTCATGTGTTTTTCTTCGGCGATTTTTTTTCATCTTTATTTTCCTCATCCACAACAACAATATATGTGTGCGTGTTTAAATAAAAAAAACTCAATTTCAGAATGAATAAAAATACCCGATACCACCCACCACCTATTACATGTCCTCCACTCCACATCGTTGCATTGTTATTTTGAGACAAAAAATAACAAATTATAGAGGGAATAATATATATATATATATATATATATATAGGAAATATTCTTTGCAATCCGGACAATATATTTTTAGTTGAATTTTGAAAAATAACCGTAGTTTTTCTTTTCGTTGTACCATTTTCGCTTAACTTGGGCATATTTTTATTAGTTTTAGAGTGTCATTTGTCGTAATTGTGAACGCTGTTAGCTAAAAAAATCAATAATAAATATTAAACACGAGAGGCGGCGCAACACATGTCCTAAAATTCAATCGAAACCGGCCTCCTTCGTGATTTGGTAAAAAAATGTGTGGCCGGATATTTTTTTCACACTCCCCACAATGATAACAAGAAGGACATTTATTAATCCCAACATTTAGGACGAAATATATCCGAAAAAATGTGTGGTACCATTATATTCGGAGTTTACCGCACCACTTCTAGAACATTAAGATACCTCCTGATGTGGCCGACAATAACATCCAATCATCGACAACATTTTGTGACATGAAGATGGCACCACTGTCGTCATGATGACACAGTCACCGTGTTGCTGTTCTCAGGGCGGCATTCAAGCACATTCCCAAACCAAACTGGGATGGCATTGCTTACCACTGATCGCACTATTGCTTTTTAAGATCCTTGGCCAGTAAGTCACTTGGGCTATTTGACTTTGAAATATTGTTATATCCAAGTTTGCCTAGGAAGAAACATTTCACTCTCCAAAATTGCATTTTGAAAGTGTCGTTAATCCCAAGGTAATGGGATTTCTTTTTTGATCCAATCTTTGCAAATCGTAATATTTTTCACATTCCTATAGTCGGCTCCTATTTTCCTTACTGGTTTACCACATTCATAGTTAAGGGCGTGGTTGGTTTGGGGCTGGCTATTATATTGAGAATTCCTATCGAATATTAATTTCTTAAAAAATATAGATATAGTTCGACTTTCTTCCATTTAATGCAGTCGAATTGGCATTGACGGATTCGCAAACATCCAAATATAAACAAAAAACCCATTCCCGCAAAATTAAAAAAAAAAACCATAGAGCTGATCGCCAACATTAAGATTTCTAAAAAGGGATTTGAATAATCACTTAAAATATTCATGAATATGAATTTAAATTATCGATAATAGGTAAGTAAAAAAATGTTGGAAAATCTAGGATTATGAATTTTTTTAATTTATTCAATGGAGGTTGATTAAATTTTGGTTGGAATATTTTTGAATATCGACAATATTTGGTTGGTTTTTAAGGATCTCTCACCTGCCATCATATATATGTGTGTGTGTGTATAATAAATATGTGGAAAAAAACAAAACAAACTATAATTTTGACCGAATTTCTTTGCACCATACAATTGTTTTTCTTACACAAACATACATACATGCCCAATAACAGAACATACAAATGTAGTAGATAATAAATGTAATTAAAATATCAGGGGGGTTACTCTGTATTGCGTTGCGAAAGCAAGTGCGATGCGAAAGCTAAATGCGTTAAGAGTACAATTTGGTACTCTGTAACGCTCACGCAAACGCATTCGCAAACTAAATCAAAAATAGGGCAACCTTCGCCACAAAGTAAACAGTGACTGAAGAATGAAAAAGTTAAATCAAAAAATTTTAAATGAAAACATTTTTTTGTGCAAAATTGCAGTGTTTTTTTAAACAAAAATGATGAACGAATTAAAAACAAAAACAGAAATTTATGAGATCGATCAAATATACTCTCCCAAGTGAACGGGTATTTTTACGAATTATGTGACAAATATTTTCAAATATTTAATTTTTATAGATTTATACAAAATGTTCGTCTCAATAAAGATTCGTTTATGTAATTATTAAACGCTCGTCTTTCCAAATAGATCCACAACAATTCCAATCCCAATAAAAGAGGCCGCTTCTTTGAAATTGCTTGGACAAGGTGGTTATCAACACCAACCTGTAAATATGCACACATAGTTTCACATTTATATATAAAAAAAAATACATTACTTTTTCCAACCACCGACATCTTTTACAAAAGGTCAATTTGAATTGAGGTCATCACAGTTTTGTCCACAAATTGTTGGCGCATGTTTGCATTTGAACTCTGCAACTGTCCCTTTGCCAAATCACTGTGTTGCCCCATAAAAAAATGTTGGAAAATCGTTGGATTATGAATTTTTTTACTTTTTTGCCTTTTACTTAAAATAATTTACAATTTATATAAAAATAAAAAAATTAATTGAGTTTTTATATGTTTCGCTTCCTTCATATATATGTGTGTGTGTGTTAATAAATATTTGCGAAAAAAACAAAACAAACTATGACATGCGTTTTCGTATTATAGAGTGCGGTGATGCCAATTTTTAAACTACACAAACATACATACGAAAACGAATTAGAGAGAACATTTCAAATGCGTTAAAATAAATGCAATTAAAATACCCCCCAGTAGTAGTTGAGTGTTTAAAATATTGTGTTCAAACTATACACAAATTATTTATGATTTGTTTTATTTTTTGCTTTTTTCTTGTGTCATTTTATCAAAAAAAAAAATCAAATCAATGAACGTTTAAAAAAATATTATTATAAAAAATATATAATACATAAATATATTACGAAAAAAAAAATCCACACAAAATCAACCACAAAAATACCTCTGAAACAAATTAAAAAAAAAAAATAAATAATCAATAACAAAGACTATGGCTATGCTGGAGGTTATGATGGCTATGGTGGTAGCGGCGGTTATGGTGCAGGAGGTGGTGGTGGTCGAGGTACCGGTGGACCCAGAGGAGGTCCCAAAGGAGGTAGTATAAACCATTCCACATATGATAAACTAATGTAAACATTAAAAAAGAAAAAAACTATATTGGCATATATGAATTGCAAAAACGGTCAAAATTAAAACAACAACAAAAAATTAGAAAATAATATTTTGGTTCAAAATTTATTGTAGATAATCTACTCTGCACTCTACTTACTGTACTCCATGTTTGTTGTATGTGTGTAAATTTAGTTAATTTAATTTATTTTTTTAATTTATTATTAATGTCTTTTTACAATTTGTAACTTACATTTTTATATTTTGTTTTTCTCTCTTCCCTACACTCCATTTTTTCCTTCTCTTTGATTTTCTAGGTGCTGGCGGTGGTTATCAATCCGGCAAACAAAGAGGGACGGGACGTCAACCCAGACATCAACCATATTAATTTTACACTTCCTTACTCCATAACTACAAAAAACACAAGCAAAGATTAAAAAGTAATTTTTAATTATAAACAAAACAGAAGAAAAAAACAAACAAACAACAAACCTAAGCAACCGAAAGTCTTTCTAGAAATTACAACAAAAAACGGAAAAAACGGCATTATGCTATTAAACAGCATAATAATTTAAACAACAACAAAAATATATCATAGTTTAGTTCGTTGTGGTAAGTTAGAAATAAATATATACTATACACATCTATTACAGGGCGAGATAAAAAATGCAACAAAGTCAAATGCCATAATTTTTACATTTTTTATTAAATTTTATTGAATGAAAGCAAAAAACTGCCTGAATGTTGTTCTGCGGTATTTTGGCCCATTGCCTACGAAGCGCTTGCTTGAGGTGATCGACACTTTGCTATTTCTTAGTGCTAACCTTGCTATCCGGAAATTTTGGTGGCCATTATTCGCTGGAAATAAAGAGAGGATCGTCATTTTGTAACCATTCTTGGGTGGCGCATGCTGAGTCCTGTTGGAATGACCAAGATCTGCGACCAAAATGTTTGCGTGCCCAAGGCATTTATTCTGATGTCACGGTCGATTAATACGAGCGGAAAGTGACCATCGGCTGTTACGGCGGCCCACACCATCACCATGGTCGGCGCTTGAGTTCTGGTGGCCAAGCGAAGGTGCACATTTTCAACTGACCCCTCTTTGGCAACTAAACACGATTATTTTGTTTGTTTACAAAATGCTGAACAGCTGTCAAACGAGTGACTTAGAAATGATTGAAGTTGGTTGCAGTTTTTTCATCTCACTCTGTATATATATATATATAAGTTGCCAATTCCTGTTGATCTTTTTTCTCACATCTCATCTCTATCCGTTAAAATTTGAATCGTTTTTCGCACTGTGGTACAGGGTATTATGTCTTTGTGCGTATGTTTGTAAATGGCAAAAGAGAACGAGATAGACACATAGTTTCTTTTGAGAATATGATTAGAATGCATTCTAAGTCGATTTATGCACGTTCGTCTATCCATGTTAAATTGTAAAAAAATTGCAGGTCGCATTTATGATTCAAATTGGATGAAATTTGGCACAGCTCATTTATTTGGGTTCCAAATATTGAACGGGTATACGATAGACATTTGTTTTAAATCGATTTACATAATTTTGTTCTATTGTAACAAACGAATGACATGTTTATGGATTGATTCAAGTCACTTATTTGAGATCATCCAATTTAATGTTAATGGCCCTTCATAAATGCGACGTCTGTTAGGATGCATCTGTTTAATATACTCATAGTGGTGAAAGGATATCATATAGTCGGCCCCGTCCGACTTTACAACTTTCCTTACTGGTTTTAATTTATAATAATTACCCCTTTTTTCTTTCACTCTCTTTTTCAGCGTTCTCTTTTTTTACAAATTAATTTAATCGTAAACAAACCAACAAAACCAATCAATCATTCATCCAGATCTATTAAATCCATATTCAAACATAAAATATAGATATCTTCAGAGACACAGGGAAATCCTAAATGTATAGAACAAAAAGAAGAAATGTTAAGGATGTATTAACTATATTTAACAGAAATAATAATGGTTTTCCATGTTGTTTTTTTGGTAAACCATTGTTAGCGCGCCCTATCGCAGTCATATAGTCTATATCTACGATATATTTTGAAATTGACAAAGAAAAGAAAAAAAACATACTATACACACACACACAACAACTACCATTCCAGAAAATAAAAACAACAAAAATAATCATTGCAGTTATAATTCTCAACACACACGCAAAAAACAACAGAACATCCAACTCCTCCATAGACGATTATTTCATTTTTCGAACACCACGCTGTCGTCGTCATTGTATCATCATAACTACAGGTTTATAATTTTTTTTTGTTCTTCACACAACACAATACTACATTTAATTTCCTCTCTTATTTTTTATTGCAACAGTTTAGTTTATAAATATTTGTAATATTAAATTTAATAATAATAAACAAAACACAAAACAACAATACCTTAATTATATAAAAAATATAGAATTTTTCGGTTTACTAATTAATTCTCTCTATATATATATATATATTACTACTATATTGTGCAGAGTGTGCTTCAAAAGAAGTTTTTTATTTTTTAAAAACGTATTGAAGAAACCCACCTCATATATACATATACTATATAATACATAGATACATATAAAAAACAACAAAAGCAAAAAACCAACAAAAATAAATAAAATACAAACCAAACACTGTTCTTTATTTTTTTCTGGGTTTATTCAATTTAAATTGAGTTTTCTTTTTTTCTTTTCTTTAGAAATAAATATATATATACTATTATATATCTCTCATACCAATCTATCTTAATTATCGTATCTACTTTAATATGTAATACTTAATAAGAAATATGTTTTATTTTTTTTTTTTTTTTTTTTTTTTTTTTTTTTTTTTTTTTTTATTTCGAACTCAACCAGACTTCGATTTCTTTTTTTATAGTAATAAGTTCTCATTTTTTCACTCTATTATTTCTTTGGCAATATTAAGTACCCTTGATGATATACAATTTATACTATTTTTTATTACTTTTAAGAATTGTATTGTAATATTCAACAACAACAACACAACAAACACTTTATATAATAATAGAACAAGCAAACTTTGAACAAAAGAAGAAGAAATTATACAAACATAAGAAATATTGAAGATAAATAAAAAAGGTTCTAAATTGATAACAAAGACCACCAAACCTATTAAAAAAAGCATTGAATCTTGTTTTATTTTTCATTGGAATCAATTGAACAAAGGAATTTAGATGAAGAAAATACATATTGAAGTTCATATTTGTTAATGTTTTTCCTACTAAATGGATGTAAGTACCATGTCCAGGTATGCTTATGAAGATAATGAAATGTATTTTTTATCTTAGGCTTCGGATATATATTTTTTTCAAACAAATTTATCTACGGTATCAATCATACAACTTATTTTTTAATAAGATAGCATTGTTTTAAGTGGAAACTATTTTTAATTCTTTAAGGTAAGGACTGAGTAGTAGTAAATATAATAGAAAAATTTATTAAAAATTTCCTCCAAATGCTAATCAAACATTTGGACATTTTTAATAAATAAATTGAGTCTAGAATTACGTGTGCTATGTTTCGTGAAAATCAGTTCAGATTTAGATATAGCTCCCATATATTTTCGTCCGATATTATGTAAATGGCACCAAAGTCCCTGTATATCTTTCGATTTGCACGAGTCTAGAATGCGGTGTGCTAATTTCCATGAAATTCGGTTCAGGTTTAGATATAGCTCCCATATACATATTCTTTGAAATCGGTTCAGATTTAAATATAGCTTCTATATATTTTTGTCCGATTTTAGGTTATTGATGCATCAAACTCCTCATGTTTGTGCAAATTAAATGTTATTTTCCATAGGTTGCAGGATGAGATGTTTTTTGGATGGTTTTGGGTTTGGAGTCGATTCTTATAAAAATAAAGTTCACATATTATGTGAAAAATGTGAAATTACCCACGTGATGGTTATTCGTGTTTTGGCTTATATGCCTTGTAGGCAATGAAAAATCCAAAAATTTCCTTAAAGGCTAATGTTGATTTTGGACCCGATATTGGATATTGTTCTACTGCCTGAGCTATGTACGTCTATATGAATCTAATTCAGACCTATAACAGGTCAACAAATTTTCTTTGTCAGTTCCCCAAATACTGCCGTATTCGAATTGGGGGACTTGTTTGTATTTCTCATCTTATAGCATAAAGCAGTGGCTTGTGCAGACAACTTGAAAGGGCTACACTCCATCAACCATTATGTTCAACGGGAGCTTCATTTCAGCGGCCCATGTGGTGAACAGTGTGCCTGTTGATTTGGTGGCGAATATTTTCATACTCCTCAGATGGGAAGAAATTTGCAAGTTCAAGTGAGAGGTTAAAAATCTCAAAAATGTCATCAATGTTGGGACCCGAAGATGTAAACAATTCCGGAGATATGATCGCTACTTGGTGAACTCCTTATTTCACTGTACGGTTTTGGAAGCGGAGGAAACTGTGCCACCTCTATAGGCAATAGACTTGTAGGCTCGGACGGGCACTTGAATAGATGGTGCGTGTCGTGAGGACTTTACTGGCAGGAGGGACACCTATTTTGGGTTCCGGGGACAATGCGCTCTCGATTCGAATTGAGAACATTGATGTACCCGGACCTTAGTTGTGCCAGAATCGAACGGGTTTGCCTAGGAAGGAGCCTCTCACTGTCCGAAATTGCAGTTTGGAAGTTTGAGTAGGACTTTATTGCATCGGTGACCGTCAGATGATGCACGGATTTCATCGCGTTCGCTATCGACAATCTGTTGACGTCTGATGGAATGACGTCTTGGATGCCATCACGATAGTACATTTAAATTTTGGAGTAGTCCATGTAATGAAGTTTTATGGAAGTCCTGACGGATGTGTCGCGGAGGCGTGTGATGGTTGGTATGACACAGCAGATACCATGCCAGCAGGAACTGTCTATTCAACAACACATTATGCCCCAGGAGCTGCCAGCCAAAGCCTTCACTTCACCGGAAGAAATTGACATTTGGATTTTTGATCACAGAACTCAACGAAGGCTTGCCGCCCGTTAAGATAGTTGGCAAACCAGCGCTTGATATCATTCGGAAAGGTGGAATTTGAGTTGTCGCATATCAGCTGGGAATGATCGACCGTATCATGCACAGATCAAAGGCTACCATAATGGTCAGTTAAGGTGGTCGTCGCAGATTAAGGCCATTCGCAATCTTGGAAATAATTTCATGCACTGCAGTAGTTTGATATTCTTAGTCCTGGAACAGCTTGGCATGGAACTCAGCTAATGTTGATCATCGGTACTTTTGGCATTGAATGGCAAATGGAACCTGAATGTTGTACCTCCATGATGTCTGGTCGATGATCCCGCGACGTAGAACGAACACACCATTCTCTCCATTTGTAAACTAGAAATGTAATTAGAAAATGTAGATAGAAATTTGTCATCAAATAGGACATAGATCCAATACCTCCATTATAACGTAGAACGAAATTAACACTCCATTGACAAACTAAAGAAAAAGTGACGGTTAGGCGATAAAATGTATACTAGACAGTGGAAGACGACTAAGGTATAGTATTATAGTTAATACAATCTTCCTTGTCCGATACCATATCAAAGTCGTAGATAGCTAAAAAATCATTTGATCTTGGATTTTTAATATTTTTGTAAATATTTTTTTCAATCTAAATTTATTTCATTTAATGAAAAAGTAAAAATATTAAAAAAGGACAATTTTTAATCAAGATTTTGTATATCAGGATGAACACAACGGATAAAAGAACGGCCAGAAGTCAGTACTCATGTATCCCCTCATGATTCCGTTTATATATTATTTTTTTATTATTATTACATCATTATTTTTTATTGTATTTTTATTCATTTGACTTTTTTGATCTTTTTCTCTTGCCTTGAAAAGTTTCAATTTTTAAATTTATGTATAATCATCACCTACCCTCCATCAATAAAATGAATATTAAAACACTGCTTTTATTACGATTCTGAATTGTTTTTCATAAAATTTTTTATTTGTTTTTACTAATTCGAAAAAGGTTTCTAAATATAGAATATATATATATAGTATAGGGACCATAAACTTACAACTTTATAATTTTTATTAAAGCGCACAGGGTACATACAAATTAAATAAATCACGGGCAATGGGGGAGTTTTTTGTTTCCACTTTTGTTTTTTAGGAAAACATCTAAATAATAATCATATCATACAATGAAAAAAAATTAAAACGAAATGTTTTCGTTTTTTTTTTATCTAAGATAAGAAAATTGAATTTATCGATTAGAATAACAAACATTTCACAAAACAAGAGTTTGGTGTGCAAATACTAATATTAATGGTGGTATCTAGGGTGGGGCGGGAAGTGAGGGGATGTGATTATGTGAATTTTGGATACATCTGAAAACTACACCTAAATTTTTAAACATATATATTAAATGTAAATATAACTAAAAAATAATTATACATAATTTATACATTAATATGTAGATAATATATATATTGTTATATATCAAAATACAAATGAATAATGGCAACGGAATAGCAAATGAAAGTTCTTTTTTGTGGGGGGGGTTTATCATGGGAAAAATCACCCATTTGTAATGGTTTTGAAAATCATTAATTACCTTGATTAAGGTAAAAACTGATCTTCAAAAGGTTTCACATAAATAAGGTACAAATTTCAAAAAAAAATATTTGGATTACCTTTCAAGTTCTTAATCGATAAAAAATATAACTTTCATTTAATATAATGTTATTTCTGCATATATTCGTATATAAGCAGAACAAGCAAGGGGTGGGCTTAGAGCGAACGAAAAAAATTTTTTGTTTGAAATTATTTTTCAAACTACCGTCGTCGTTTAGAAGGAAAGAGAAAAAACAAATGAAAATTTGCCATCATAAAGACAAATATGTATGTATGAGATTTTTCCAAAAGAAAAATTCCAAACAAATTCCAAATTTGGCAAATCTTTTTAGTATGATGGATGTCTCACTTGAATCTTTCGGTCCTTAAAAGCATTTCATCAAAAAAAATTTTGTATTAAGTAAATAACTAACTAATATCTAATATTTTCTTAGTAGTATTATGTTTTCTCCAAGTCTCCTCTCCAATACACGTACAAGAAGAAGAAAACTGCTTACATTTTATCATCCAAATTAGTTGTTGTAGTTTCTATTATCATTTTGTTGCAACATTCATCTAATGCCGTTGCATGAGGTTTTATAATATCCATTAGAGTCGATTCATCCTGTATAACGGGTGGCAAGGTTTCGCCCAATAGTTTTTCATTAATGGAAATACCTTCATCCAAACTATTGCTGCCCAGCGACATGGGCTCACTATTATTTGATGCTGTTGACAACACAGTCGACGACGATGACGACGAGGAGGAGGAAGATGATGAAGAAGATGAGGAGCATGAATTGCCGCCGGTTACCGTCGAGCCGGGTTCGAGCACATCACCGCCATACGATGAAGCAGACATTGGCGAAGAACAGGCAGAATTCGGATTATTTTGGTTCATGCAGGAATTTTGATTGTGCGTGTACAATTTTGAAATCAATAATTTTGGTGTTATACGCCCATCATAGGTGCCGGTGCCCGAGTCTGGGCTGGGACACACCGAACTTGATGGTGATTGGCATATGGGTGATGACCCCCGACTTTCACAAAACATTTTCTTGCTTGGCGGCTGGGAGTACAGTGAATTCCAGGTAGCATTACCGACGGCCGACGATGGCTGGTCATCTAATTCGAATTTTCTTTTAACTGGACCCAACTGTGATGGCCTTATAGCTATGGGAGACATAGAGCGTCGTGTGGCAAAGGTATTACGCCGTGTTGGAGACGGCGATAGACCATAGGGAAGACGTAAATTGGCACGATTATTTGTTGGACTTGGACTGGAGCAACCACCATTGCCACTGTTCGCCATAGAACCACCGCCCACAACAACTTGCAAGGGGTTAGTCAGTTCATCGGATGACTTGCAGGACCAGTTCTCTGCTACCAAAGACAAATCTTCCCAGCTCTGTGATATTTGTATGGCACTATGTACCTCTCGTTCGTGGTTTACTTCGCGGGAATTTAAGCCATCAACACACTCTTCCTGCCGTAGCTGTGAAATACGTGGTGTAACACATCTAGTTGATTGTCCACCGCCACCACCTGCTCCTCCATTATTGTTGTTACCTGCCGTACCTGTAGCACCACATCCTCCTCCAGATCCTGTTCCTCTGGCCGGACTATAACTTGCCGAATATCTGCGTCCGCGTGGTGCAAATATATTAAATACTGGAACAGGCGAAACTTCCCTCGAAGGAGGTTGTGATCGGGGTATTGGCACACTCAAACATCTCTTCAGAGCTTTTGAAGATAGCCCTGTTGTAACTGTCGTTGCCGTTGTATCGCCTTGATTTATTGCCGTCACCGCAGCAGCACTACTACTATTGCTGCTGCTGCTAGTTGGTACCATTTGCATTTCGACCAATGATTTATCCACTTCGATTCGACCATCTTTATGTGAATTTCCATCATCTTTGACTGCCTCCAAATTAACTTCCATTTGTATAGTTGATAGTTTGCGGTCGGTTTTATAATATCTGTCACGCAATATTCCTATTTTCTGCTTTTTAAGTTGGGTATTTCGGTTTTCTTTGCGTTTTTCTGAACAAAATTTTGATGCAGCCAGCGTTTGTTTGAGGGTTCTTGATTTTTTCTATGTGGGCAGGGTTCGGAATTTCTCTTGTGTATTGTAGTATGCGAAGAAGATATATCAGCAGTAGCTGCCGCAGTATTGGCGAAGTACATCAACATCCAAACAAACACATCACATGGAAAACGAACGAAACCTGCACTGTGGAAAATGAACGTGTGAGGAAACAGGATAACAACTAATTGGGTTGCCAGGTTGGGTTCTTAAAATTTGACAGCAAGGCGAAACGATGAGTGGCCAATTGAAAAATATCCTATAAATTATTTACGTACTCCTTTCAAAAATTCCTGTCCTTTATTTTCGTATGTATCTTTAAAAAAATTAAAATATTAAACAATTCAATATTCAGAAAAAAGGATAACTTACAGTTTATTAAATTCTGAAATGCCATCAAAACACACAAAAACTCAATATGAGTTTCATTTACGTTCATGGTGTTGTACGATAAATCATGTATCAGCAGATTTAGAACAGCAATATATTCACTCAAACACACATCACTGAACAGCCACAAGCATTTAGTACCCGACACATTTCGATTAGGTGGTGCATTCAGCTGTTTTAAAGCGCCTTTTTTAAATTAAGTGGCTTGTTTTTGTTTTCAAATTCCAAAGAATTGGTCAAGACATCGGGAAAACATGTGTTATCATAAATATTGTGTGATTATTGAGGAACACTGTGAGGAATTTCATAATTTATGATGGAGCGCATGGCATAATAGGTAAGTATGCTAGGCAGTATCATGCATGGTACAATAATACAAGGTTGGCTATAGAAACTTGAAATGTTTTCTTGTTGTGGCTTATGTCAAATCATATAAAATGTGTTAATGATTGTGTAATATTCTTTACTTCTTTATATTTATAATATAGAGGGATGATTGTATATTAATATTGTACGCGCTAAAGGGGAGTTCACTTAAATCTTTAAGCATGTGTTCGCAAACTATCGATACTATCGATGGTTTCAGACTTTTTTCTTTCATAAATACTTTTTTGTAATATGAGCATACATCGCAAAAATTAAATTTGACAAAAAAAAATTAAGTACATAAAACTTCAAATCGTGCTAAATGGAATAAAATCGTTTAAAAAAAATTAAAAATATTTAATTTTAAAACTTTGTTATATCAAAACCGTGTACAAAAAGACCGTGTAAAAGGTGTACTCTGATATATTCTTATGTCGCGAAAATATTCTAGGACAAGGATAGAATATTCAGTACAATAGTAATTTTTTACTAAAAATGTCCCGTGTACCATGTTTTGAATCACATTGGGTAAAACTTTACCTACCAAAAATTATTTTGGGAATGTCAGGTACGGTTTTCATCAAATCAAATTGACTATAATTTAAATGTTTTGAGTTTAATGGTGTGTCAAATTGTCCCACTAAAACGTATTAATACCAGTTTTTGTGGCAGAAAATTGTCAAGGTTAAGTTTTGCACATAGTCCTCATATGAATATACTGCGCTGACTTTTATTTTGAAGGTTATAGACTCATTATCTGGGTTCTTGTAGGGTAGGATATATTTATTCGGACATAGGTCTATGTTTCGACATATCTCTCATATAAAGGTTCGATCTTATTTGACTACTTTTAGAGTCTTTTCCCGCGAAGTGGCTGCAATTTAAAAATATGTTTAACGAAAACTTTCGATGTAAGAACATCTTTTAACATAAACCCATTATAAAGTGTGACGAGACCAATTTTCGGCACTCTGAAGAGATATTCCGGTGAATAAGAAACTCCTTTTCTGAAAGTTTCCGATTTAGGTTCATGATTATTTTTACATCGCTCCCATACAAAGTTCCTCATAATTTGGATCTTCATTTTACAAAAAAAAAACCTACTAGCAGGCGATGCTATAGTAAACATACGAAGTACTCGACCTTTTTAAGAAAATTTTAATGCACTCCACATAAAAATTTCAGATCGGCCGAACTTGAAGACTTTTTTATTTGTTTACAGATGTACTGACACTTTCTAACATAGGAAATCAATCATGGTTGTTACATCTTATATTTATAAGTTTTAGATGCAGAGAACCTCAAAATACTTATAAATATTAATTATTTAGCTATTTTTACCAATGAACACATAATATGCAAACATTTCTAAGATATTTTCATTTAAATTTTGAAAGCTGAATTCTGTCAAAGTTAAATTTATGAAAAAAATTGGAAACATATGACTTCCTTGTATAATTATGCCATTTTTCGCACGTAACTCTCACAAGATATTACCTATTGAAATTCATGTATTAATTTCAAATAAAATGAAAAATAATAGTACGTTTACATTTAACCGGATTTCGTTAACCCAGTAGGTTTTAATTGTCAATTCCTTTGCATATATGTCAAATAAATCCTCATAAAGTAGGTTAATCCGGTAAAAAGTTCTAATGTATATGCCGTTTAAATTCCATAAAATTTTAAATAAAATTCAAATTTTAAATCAATTAAATAAAATATGTTTTTTAAAGCTGAACATTGCTCTCAAGACCATGGTTGCTACAACTTATATTTATATGTTTTAGAGGCAGGAACCTTCAAAATATTTATAAACATAAATTATTTAGCAATTTTTGCCACTGAACACATGATATGCGTACTTGTCGAAGGAAGATTTTTTGTTTGAATTTTGAATTCTGAATACTGTCAAAGGCAAATTTATGAAAAAAAATTGAAACATATGACTGCATGAGACTTGTATAATTATGCCATGATAGTTACGTTTCAGGGTCTTATCTAAATTCATTAGTATGCATACGATCCTACACCCATGGAATCTGTACATGGTTAATTAAGAAATGTTTTCATCAATTTTCATCGTTTTCAATTTACACACAAGTAAATAAGGTTGGGTATTTGGGTAATACGGACATTCAACTAAACCTATGAAGGTGAGAAGGTTGGTATTTTAGTACGCAACGTCCTGAATTTAAGAACGGGCCTCATATCCGATATTAGTTTCGTTCCAGAACCTCCAAGAATTTACTAATTTTACAAGCAACTTTTTACTCGAAAACCGAGATCTGGAGATCTGTGCACCATTTAGATAAAATCGGGCGAAAATATATATGTAAGCTATATCCAAATTTGAACCGATTTTTCTCAATTTCTATAGGGTTCTTCCTTGGGCCAAATAAATTTGGTGTACCAAATTGCATCTATATCGGATTATAAACGCCACCTGCTCTTCAACAGACGGACGAACATGCATAAATCGACTCAGAAAGTGATTCTTTGCAAACACTCAAAAGGTACCACGTGTCTATAAAAATACCAGATTATTTTTCAATAATAATGCAATTAAAGGGTGAAAAATAAGAGGAAATTTATTTTTGATCACATGAATTTTGAACCAATTAAACGGGAAAATCAATTAACAGGGTTTAATTATCCGAGGAAATTTACATGTGTTTTTGTATGCAATATTTTTTTGGTCCCATCATGTGATTTAATAAAGCGGGAAAAACAATTAAGTCCCAGTTAAATTAGACGAGTTTACTTGCGTCAAGTCTTTGTTAGCAGGAGAGAAGTGCAAGGGGAATAGAAATTGAAAAAATTGCTCGTACCGGCAAATTTCTAGCAATTCGTTTTGTGTATTTTGTATGTAAATACCAAGTAAACTCGCCTTATCTAAATCAGGACTTTCTGCAGGGTCAATTAACTGAAAAATACTGTATTTGTATTTCCCAAAGGACGAAAAAGCAAACGTAGGTTTATAATAGCGTTAAATCCGGTCGCGAACATCTCGATGAGGTCTATATATCCTGAAATATGGACTGAAAATTGTGCTTTCTTGCGATTACCGAGAAGATTATTGGTCTGTTTCCGTACTCCAAGAATCTACTACTTTTATAAATATTTTGAGGGTTGCCGAATTTCGGAGATTTTAACATCGCCTATGGACAGATTACAATACAGTTTACATAACAAAATATCAAACTCAGTTATTTGAACTGAACACATAATTTTCAAAAAAAAAAAAACTTTTTAGAACTAGAATTGGAGCTCATCTATAATTCCCTACAAAACATATGTTTCGTACTAAATATCAGCTGTTGCATTAAATATAAACAATTATTTGTTTTGGGGGCGTCGTTTTTTCTACTTTTAATTAGGGCGATGAAAACAATGTTGGAAATTGATAAAACAACTACCAAACAATTCAACTATAACTATAAGGATTATGATGGTTCCCATAAGGAGGTATCATTGGATATATGTATACCATACGATGATTGTTTGGATGAATTGGTAACTCAAATCTTGGCAAAAATGGATCCAATGATGAGATTCTTGGATGAAAATGTTGGTGGGTATTACAATGGGTTTTAAAAATATACTGTATCACTTGAATTTTTAACTTCCCTCTAGGTATTAAGAAGGCCCTAAAAGAGTTTATTGATGTGGAAAATCAAAAATTCCGCGACGAATATGCCGAAGAACTTTTGGAAAGGGTGCGCAACAATGACATAGATGTTGAAGAAATTATACGTGACACCGAACGTCATTACAAGGAAGAGTTAATACAATTTGCTGATCGTATTGGACCAACCGATGAGGATATATTTGCCCAAAGTTTTCATCGTCTCGTGCATTCTTCTCAACTGGAAGAGATACTCAAAAAGGAACGGGCTTATGCCAAAGTTATTGCCAGTATTACAAAGGAAATGGACAACGAGGTTGAGACACTTAATAATTCACAACAAGAAGAAATGGAATTGAAAATTAATCAATTAGATATAACCACAACGCCGGAAGATATCAATAATCTGTTGGCTCAACAATATTCGACACAGAATTTTGTTCGTAAACGTTATGAATCCGAATTGGAAGCAAAAATTGGCCATCAAAAGAATGAATATCGTCAATGGATTACGAGTCAAGTTAGTGAATTGTTTCAATCGAGTCCCGTCTCAACACCATTGGGTAATCGTTCGTCGATGTTTATCTCCCAACAACCATCAATGGAGGAAAGTTTTACCATACATTTGGGATCACAATTAAAGCATATGCATAATATTCGTATATTGAGTGCTAATGTCAATGATTTGTGTAGTCCGCTACATGCCGATGAAAGGTGAGTTGATATTAAAAAGGGTTGATTATTTTGTAAGGAAAAGAATAGCAAGTAAAAACGAAGTTCAGACAGACCGAATATTTTGTAAAATCGTGAATCAATATTTGACACTCAGTGAACTTGAAATGTCAAATTTTGGCCACTTTATTTGGTGTGGACCGGATTTAAGGGGGTATGTCCAAACATAGTCATCTCCGCCAGTTTTTAGCCACCTCGGTTGGAAAAATCGGGAACTCGAAATTTCAAATTACAGAAGTTTTGAGTTGGAAAATGAGTTCATGTCCTTTTAAATATTTTAAATAAGGTGGGAAGCTAATATAAAAATATGGTCGAATTACAGTCTTTTTTTTGTAAATAAATATAACTTAAATTAAGGTTATTAAAATAGCATGGTACAGTGAATATATAATAACATATGCGACTCACCAACATCAGCTTCATTCGACATTCTTGTTTTCACATGTCTTCTGGTTATTTTCTTTGTTTCATTTCAGTTTGAATGGTTTAAATATGGCTTTAGGTCTCTACTCCAGTTCTCTATGCGGGGTGGTAGTTTTAACTCCTTCGGTACAAGCGCAAGCCAATAAGGACATAATTAAAAATGCAAATATGTCAACCGAATTTCATTTTAATCAGGTAAGACCTGAGTAAACTAGCAACAAAATAAATAATAATAATATTCTTACAGATTGATGATCAACTTGAAAAAATCGAACAACAAATACGGCAATTGAATCTCCTTAACTCTTCGTCAACACCGAGTACGAAAAGTTTAAGTACGGCCAGTACTGATGTTAGTATTGGTAGCAATACAGAGACGGTTGGAGCTGGCAATGATAATGTTGCTGTAGGTATCATCAATCAATCGGTACAAAGTAGCGCCAGTAATTCGCCGGTAAAGACAAGTGCAAAATTAAAAACCGGCGATTTCTTTATAACAAAACATTCCAATTTATCACAATCTCATGTTATATTTCATTTGATATCGGATGAACCGATAAATTCACCAAGTGAAATAAATTCTCGACATCCCGTCATATTGGGTTTACGAAATATCCTAAAGACGGCAAGTCGTCATGACGTTACAACGCTTACAATACCGGCTTTATTGCGGCATGAAATGTCTGAAGATATGACAGTGCAATGGTGTATGCGTCGTGCTGAATTGGTATTTAAATGTGCCAAGGGGTTTATGATCGAATCAGCCTCATGGGGTGGTGCAGAATTGAGGTGAGTAATTGAAAAAAAAAAATATGATTTAAAAATGAAGAAATGCAAGGCATTATAAATCAATCAAACATCATATCGTGGATAAAAGTCCCCAACCCAGGCGTGTTAGGAAAGATTGTCATGATCTAGAGAGATAAATGTCCAAAAAGAGAACCTCTAGATCAAGTTTCCTATCGAGCAGGTCTAAGTAGCATTTATATTGATGCTCTTGCCGCAGCACTGAATGAGTAAATGACGTGTAGCTGAAGAAGATCGGCTACCCAGATAAATCAGAGTATTTTTATACAATTTCGTTTAGGGTGGTGCAGTCGTCTCAAATGGTAATGAGCACGGATTGATGACCGCGTGCAGAATGTCTGCCTATCATGTGATACAGGCCGGTCCCTCACACCACACTTTACTTATTCAATTGCCTGACAATCCTCTGTGATCTGTGCCAGTAGAAGGATGAAGGCCGCCAAAGGATGGCGTCCCTGATAAGACTTTGATTTTGAAAGACCATGTTGTCTTCCAAATTATATTTCCATCGAATTCGTGGCCTTCGCATTCTACGTGAACCATCAGTTGGCTCGCTTTTATATGCCTTTTGAGCTGGGGGAATCCTCATACATTGTCACAACATGAACTAGCCAACGTAGTGGCTGCAGCTCGCTACGTCTGACTATGTCGATGTCCAAGAATAGATGGTATAGTTCATGGTTCTTTCAACGGCGATATTCACCGTTGACGCAGATTTGCCCATAGATTTTCCGGAAAATTTCAAAGCCGATGTTATTATTTTTGTTTATGGCGGTGCCGAGGTATATAAAATCGTTCACTACATCGAAGATGTAGTTTTCAAGTTCTACAGTTGGTTCGAATCGACTGGACGTCTTGCGCGTTGATACCATCAGCAGACTCCTCAATTTGTCCAAAGGTGGCTGTTACCGCTCGGAATGTTCGACCCGTTATGTCGATGTCGTCGTCGAGTAACATATGCTGTTTGTTTTTTTCGTATGACCTTTTCAGCAGGATGTTAACAACATCACACGACAAACTGTCACCATGTCTGAATTACCTTGTCTCCTCCTCCTTTAACTGCAAACCTTGTGCCAGTTAAAGTTATCCTGCCGTATTAATTTTCCAGGAATACCGAACGCAGACATGGCTCTAAACACCTTTGAACGGATAGGGCTGTCGAATGCGGTTTTATAGTCGACAAAAAAGGGGAATGTGTCGATGTGGATTTCGTGGGTCTTTTCCAGAATCTGGCGCAGAGTGAAAATCTGGTCAATGGTGCATTTGTCAGGTCTGAAGTCACATTGTTATGGACCAATAATGTCATTGACCATTGGCTTCAGTCGTTCACACAGTATGATGGATAGCAGGTTCAGGGTCAGGCTTGTCAATAATGGCAGTTCTCTGTATGATACCATCTACCGAGTTATCATATCAGTCGTCCATCGTTTTCACAATGGCCACTACCGGAAGCTGATCTGTTTTTGACAATAAGGGTTTATTCGCAGCTGGTTGTTGTTCTTTCTATACAGCCATCGGAGAAGACACTGACGGTTGCTGTGAAGACTTACCAAATATGTTCGAATTTCGTCTTGTCTGGCGGGAGGTGGCCTTGTTTCTAAACTGTGGCCTGGACCTCTTGGAAAGTGTTCTTAAATATATATGACACTGTGATATTCGGGTTTGGTTTGGCGAGGTTGGAAATCACACTAACTGATCCTTCCAGGTTCAGGGTCTTTACTTACATAGCTGGCTTGTGACAGAACGTTTGATCCATAAGCCGAGCTTAAACAAGTTATTCAGATGCGTCGATCTTGCGCGGAGCTTTTCAAATTTTAAAGACCATGTGCCAAAATGTTCTCTTCCACTTGATCTTTCCATCTAATTCGTGGCCTTCCCCCTCTGCGAGAATTTTTCTCTCAAGCACACCAAGAGCTGCCTCATCTGCTTCAGATCCATACAACAGGACGGTTAGTATCAGCGTTTTGTAGAGTATGAGTTTTGTTTGGCGTTCGGTGGCCTTGTTTCTAAACTGCTTACTTTGACCATAGTAGCATCTGTTGGCCAACACTATCCTTCTCGGAATTTCAAAACTGATGACATTAGTTTTATTTATGGCGTTACCAAGGTATATAAAATCTTTGACTACCTCGAAGCTGTACTTTTCAAGTTCCACAGTTGGTCTAATGCTGAAGTTCCAATCATTGGGTATGCATTGCTCTAGCCAAATTGTACTAATCAGCTGGTGCATTCTCCTGATGAGCTTCTGACCACCGGTCTAGAATAGTTCGGCTGGTAATCCATCGGCACCTGCTGCCTTATTGTTCTTCAGCCAATTAATTACTACTCTGACCTTGGCTAGGTGATATACAATCTAATCTCTTATTGGTTCTGGGGTATCTTCTTCACCGCCACTATTTGATACCAGAAGTTTTTAAAAATGCTCCTTCCAGATCCTCAACACGCTATCTGTATCTGTTACCAGGTTTCTATCTTCATCTCTAAAGGAGGATAGAATTCATATATTCTAAATTAAAAAAAATAAATGTTTGAAAGCAAAGGAAACTATCAAGATTATCTTGTGTATAGTAGTATTTTAAGTGTATCTTTTGCATTTTTTGCAACCAAAGCAGTTTATTTAAAGAAATACGCAAGCATTTGAGCTTTAAGTCCTGATTGTGGGCAATCTAAACTAATTGAAAATTCTTAAATTTATTTTCAGCACTCTACAACTACTATTGCCACATGATATATCTGAAGAGCTATTCAACACCTTAGCCAGTATGGTGCCCAATGTATTTCGTGTTGCAAATCCTAAAATATTAGTTGATAATTCCAAATAAAATCAAGAAAAAATGCAATGCAATATAAAAATTTTTTTTGTAATGTTTGGTTTATTTAAACTCGAAAATGTTTATATTTATTTATATATGTGGGTGTTTTAGGTTTCATTTATTTTTTTAGCATTTAATGTTCTTTATTTTTTTTGTTATTGCAAATATTTTTATGTCAGATTTTCCGAAAAATAAAACACTTGCAACACATTCACAATCGAAAAATTCCTGTAAATTTCATTCGTTTATATTAGTATTAGTTAATATATTTGATGATGAATATCATTAAATGTTTTCTTTTTTCTTCTTCTTGCTAATAAATATACATACGTTACTATTCAACGAATAATAGCAAATGTAATTTATGTCTTTGTTTTTTTTCTTTTTATATTAATTCACAGGTAAACATAATTAGATTTGTTTTTCAATATATATTTTTTTTCATAGTTTTTAACAATGTTTTTATTTATTTATTTTTTTTTTTTTTGCAATTTACACTCTTTGAATATTTTTAAATATATGTATATTTTTTTCGAAAATTTCAATCTACTTTAAATTGGAATTGGAAATGAGGCGAAAAATTCCATTCATTTCTTTACGTATTTCTTGTGTTTTTTTGGATTTTAATGTAACTTTGAGTCTGTCCAGTTATCCACATAAATATATATATTTTTGTTTGTATTTATTTCAAAGTATAGCTTTTAAGAAGTAATATTCTATAAAATAAGTCTATTTTGTTATTTTTTTGTTGATGATATTAATAATGAGTCCATTGACATGCTCTTTTCAAAGAAAAATCATATCTATCAGTTATATATAAAAGTGCTTCGCAAAATATAATTTTGTATGTATTCAATGTTGTAGATGTTTTTATTTATTTATTTGTTTTTGTATGAGTATTTTATACCTTAGTTTGTTGTAATATTGGTCAAAAGGAATTAAAATACTTTGTATCATGTATTCTCTATGAGTTCTTAATATTTTTTAAATTAGAATTGTTGGAGACAAACTGAAAAAAGTTTGATAAAGAAACTGAAATCATACTTTTTAAACATAGCTTACCTTTTTCGTAAAAATATATATTGTGTAATGAAAATAATATTCTAATTATTAAAAAAGTAATTGTATTCTGCCTATGATTTTGTACATACTTTTAATTTGTTAAGCCCTTAAGGCTCTTGCATACTTTGGTACAGAGAATTCAAAAACCTTATAATGGTGAGAAGACAACATCAATAAGACTTTGGAAATTGTGCAGCCGGTGGCCAATGTCAATATTGGACCATAACAATGCGACTTCAAACCTGGCCAGATTTTCACATCGCGCCAAATCCTGGAAAAGTATCACGAAAAACATATCGACACATTCCAACTATTCGTCGACTTATAAAGCCGCATTCGACAGCCCTATCCGTTTAAATGTGTTTAAAGCCATATCTCCTTTAGGAATTCCTGCAAAATTAATGCGACTATAGAGGCTACCTATAAAAAATCAGCTGTTAAAGTCGGAAAGGACCTATCGGAGTCGCGTAATACCAGGGGAGGATTCAGACAAGGTGACAGTTTGTCGTGTGATGTTTTTATCATCCTACTGGAAAAGGTCATACGAGACGCAAAGGTGAACAGAAATAACAGTCTGTACACCAAACAACACATGGTACTCGCCTATGCCGACGACATCGACATAATGGGTCAAACATTGCGAGCGGTAACAGCCACCTTAGAACAAATTGAGAAGGAGTCTGGCGAGAAGAACAAGCAGATGGTATCACTTGAACCAACTGTTGAACTTGATAACTACAGCTTCAAGGTAGTCAAAGATTTTATATACCTTGGCACCGCCATAAATTAAACTTCAGTTTTGTAATTCGGAGAAGGATAGTGTTTGTCAACAGATGTTACTATGGTCTAAGTAAGCAGTTCAAAAACAAAGCCACCTACCGCCACACAAAGCTTATGTTTTATATGACGTTGTTACTACCCGTGCTGTTATATGCGTCTGAAGCGTGGGTACTTGCGCAAGCAGATGAGGCAGATCTTGGTGTGTTTGAGAGAAAAATTCTCCGAAATATTTATGAGCCGATCTGTGTTGACGGTGAATATCACAGTCGAATTAACCATGTGTTGTACCATATATTCGGAATTGTCAGACGTATCGAACTGCAGCGATTACGTTGGCTAGGTCATGTTGTGAGTATGGATGAGGATGCCCCAGCGCAAAGGTATATAAAAGCGAGCCAACTGATGGCTAACGCAGAATAGGAAGACCACGAATTAGATGGAAAGATCAAGTGGAAGAGAACATTTTGGCACATGGTCTTTCGAATTGGAAAGCAGGGCGCAAGATCAGTGCGCCTGGAAATTTTTTTTAAACTCCGCTTATAGATCAAATCTTCTGTCACAAGCCAGCTAACTAAGTAAAGACCCTGAACCTGGAAGGATCAGTGCGTGTGATTCTCAACCTCGCCAATCCAAACCCGAATATCACAGTGTCATATCTTTTTAAAAACACTTGCCAGGAGGCCCAGGAGCCATATTTTTTTCAAAATTGCGATGAAGTTGGCAAGAATTGTTACATATTTAAATACAGGAACCATTTATAATTTTTCACTTTTACCCGATTGCCCTATTCAGACAGATATTGGACTATTTGGCCTTGTATAGGCAAATGGATCTACTGTTGTTAGGACCAATTAATTAAAATGATTATAATTTTATATATAATTTATTTTTGTGTATTTTAGGTATGTATGTACGTTTCAGAGAATATCACATGTAATATCAAGTACGTACGTATTTTCGATTAAAATTCTTTTTTTTAACGGTGGTACCAATTTGTCTCTTGGAAGGCTTGCAAATGTTATGAGAAGAAAAAAATCATAGCAATAAAGAAAATGTTCAGTTTTCAGTTTATAAAAAAATTGAGAGAGAAAGAAAGTGAAAGAGTGTTTGTTGTTTTTTTTTAGTTTGAAAATAATTTATTTAAGGGGTTTCTTTTGTTTAATTACTAATGTATTTATGTTGTATGCGCACCAGCATTTTTGGATTTGTGTATTAATTAAATAGATTTTTTGTTCTTGTTGTTGTATTAATTTCATTGTGTAAACTAATTAATAATTAGTGTTTGTCAGTACATTTGTTTTTTCGTTAAACTAAAAACAATATATTAATTAATTTGTTTGTTGTCTTTTTTATTCATATGAATAACATCATTGTTTGGGTTTTTAATTTTTATTTATTTTAAATTCTCATTTTTAAATATTTTTTTTTGTTTTTTATTTCTTAATAAATTTGTTTATTTTTCTTTTGTTCTTCTTAATAAATATTTTGTTTTAGAGATTATTAAAACTATATAAAATTAATACAATGGCTATTAAATTATATTAAAAAATTACTATATATTTGTGATGTTAAATTAAATAATTAAAAAATATATGAAAAACATTTTAATGGGAAATCGAATCCACATTGTCTCATAAATATATTTATATGAGGTCTCCGGTGAATGTCTACTAAATAATATTAAACAATTATCAGATGTTAAAATAAAAATAATAAACAAAAGTAATGGCAACTCAACTCCAAATTGTCTTAATAAATTTTATGAGGTCTCCCGTGAATATTTCGAGCTGTTTCAATGGGGAAAAGACAAACTTAATCGGTCTGGTCCCTCCCCATAATAAAGCCAGCATGAATATGTACATTTCCAAATTAGGCACATTATTATGTTGTATTAAACAGATGCATCCTAACATACGTCTCATTTTTGAAGGACCATTAACATAAACTAAACAACTAAAATATGTGATCTCTACCGTTTTAAATCAATCTATGTAATTCGTGCAAAATCTTGTGGCAATCAGCCTAACATTGGGTCTTTCGTGCACCTATTACTTAAAATCTGACAAAAATACATATATGGGAGCTATATCCAAATCGCAAGCGATTTTCAACAAAACTTGACACACATTATGTTATACTAATTCAGTACGCTATGTGCAAAATTTTGTGGAAATCGGCCTAAGATATATAGGGGCTTTGGTGAAGATTTTACATTAAATCGGACGAAAATATATATGGGAGATGTATGTAATTCTGAATCGATTTTTCCCAATTTCACTAGGATTCGCCATTGGGCCAAATACATGATCTGTGCCAAATATAATTCAATTCGGATCATAAATGCCACCTGTACTTTTTTATCTTCGGACTTAATTAACAGACGTAATTCTAGATCATTTTCGGAATACTGTGTATAATGTCAGACGAAAATATATATGGAAATCTGAGCCGACTTCAACAAAACTCAATTTTGTTGCTATGATATATATATATATATATATATATATATATAAATGGAGCTATATCCAAATATATATGGGAAACTGAATATATCTAGACACAATGTGAACGCTATGTCAAATTTCGTGGAAATCGAAAGATATATTGGGACTTTGTTACACCATTTACTTTTAATTCTGTTGGATATGCAAAATCTCGTGGCGATCGGACAAACTTTGCCACTTTGGTACACCATTTACATAGATTGGATATATGAAGATATTTTCCCTCAATACCTTTAACAGGCATTGGGCACAATTGAATGCATTTTTTCTATTGACGAACCAAATTCAAACAGATTTTTATTAAAAAATTGCAAATTCCGATAACGTACAATATCTTTGCAAAACATACGATTTTCTCTGATAAGCAGTCAAAAATGTCACTTTATGTCACTTTATTACATATAAAAACTACATTATTTTAACTTTACAATGGTGAAATTTTCATGTAAATATCTCTATTCGTTGCTGAGATATGGCCAATTGAATTTTACCTTGTATAAAAATATAGCTGCTACACCGGTCTGTTCGCCCATCATCACAAAATTCAAAAAGGGCGATATTTTGCATTTTCCCAAATGGCAGAATTTTGCTTGTAGCAACAACAACAACAATGTGCCCGATTAGGCAACAAACATAGTTCTGTAATGTAAAGCATATTTTGGGGCGTCATAATAATATAAGAAGGAAAGAATAAATTTAAAGCTAACGCCTTAAAGAATGCTTCAACGTTATCGATGTTTATAATAAGAGTTACTACATGCGATCTGGCAACAATGCTGTGCCATCAGCAAATTTTGCCATTTGGGAGGGAAAATGTAAAATATCGCCCTTTTTGAATTTTGTGATAATAGGCGAACAGAACGGTGTAGCAGCTATATTTTGTTACAAGTTAAAATTGAATTGGCTATATCTCAGCAACGAATGGACAAATTTAAATGAAAATTTCACCATTGGTAAGCTGAAATAATGTAGTTTTTATATGTGCCACAGTAAAATGACATTGATGACATCCTATCGGAGAAAATCGTGTGTTTTTGAAAGATATTGCAAGTCATAGAAATTTGAAAATTTTTGATAAAAATATGTTAGAATTTGGTAGAAAAAAAACTCAATCAATTGTGTCACTTAACAAGATTTTCCAAATGTTAAAGATAAAAAGGTAAAATATCTTCGTATATCCGATTTTATGTAAATGGTACACCAAACAACCAAAGTTTTTCCGATTGCGGTGAAATTTTGAACGGAATACCAAAATGGTCCTAGAATGACATCTTTTCAGTTTTATATATATATATATATTCGTCCGATTAAGTATAAATGGTATAATCCCAAGTCCCAAAATTTATCCGATTGACACAAAATTTGGCACAGCGTAACGTAATTGGTTTAGAATGACGTCTGTTAAGTTTAATGGAAATCGGTTCAGATTTATATATAGCACCTATATATATTTTGTTACGATGTTAGGTAAATTGTGCACCAAATCCCCAAGGGTTATTCGATAGCAATACAATTATACACAGCGTACCAAAATGGGTCTAGAATGACGTCTGCTCAATTTAATAGAAATCTGTTTATCTGGTACCTGCAGTACTTTTTGAGTTTTTATACCCTTCATCACACTGTGGTACAGGGTATAAGTCGTTGTGCATATGTTTGTAACATGCAAAAGGAAACGAGATAGACACATGGTTCCTTTTGATAATATGCCTAGAATCACTTTCTGAGTCGATTTATGCATTTGGATGAAATTTGGTACAGCTCGATTGTTTAGGCCAAGGACGAACCCTTTTGAAATTGTTCAAAATCGTCCGATTTTATGTAAATGGAGGACCAAAGTCCGTATATATCTTTCGATTTGCACAAAATTTGGAACAGAGTATTGGATTGAGTCTAGAATAATGTGTGCTAAGTTTCCAGAAAATCGGTTCAGATTTAGATATAGCTGCCATATATATGTTCGTCCGATTTTATGTAAATGGTGCACCGAAGTCCGTATATATTTTTCGATTTGCACGAAAGTTGGCACAGCGTACTAAAATGAGCATTGAATGATGTGTGCTAAGTTTCGAGAAAATCGGTTCAGATTTAGATATAGCTTCCATATATATAGTTTCGTCCGAATTTATGTAAAGGGCACCAAAGGCCCTATATACCTTTCGATTTGTGCGAATTTTAGAATAACGTACTAAATTGAGTCTAGAATGTCTGCTAAGTTTCGTTTCGTCCCATATTAACTAAACTGCTAAGTTTCGTGAAAAACGGGTCAAATTTAGATATAGATGCAAGCTCGTTCAATTTCATGCAAATGTTCTTTCGAAAAGGCGGACTCTGTTAGGAGACATAAGTTCAATATACCCAAAGTGGTGAAGGGTATCATACAGTCTGCCCAGTCATTACTGGTTTTAATTGGTTCCCATGCTGTCATATATAATAGCATATCCTTGTTATGTATCCAAAGAGAAAGTATTCAATAATGGTTACTTTTTTTTTTAAAGGAGTTTTTTGTTTTATTTTCAAAAACATCCTTTTGACTATTTATATATTCAAAATGGTTACATTTTGAATTATCCTACATACATTTTTTCTACATTACGTTGGGCATACAAAAGAATTGGAGTGTATAGGTAAATTTGTCATATTCATTACATTTTAAATATTTGTTTCCGTATTCAAAAAGTGATGAAACTTTTTAAAAAGGTATAGAGGGAAACACGAAAAAAATTCGTTTAATAGAAGATTCTATTTTCAGGTTCTGGAAAAGTGCAATTATATTTTTTTAATATTCGTTTCCACATTTTAAAAAGTGGTATAATTGTTTTAATTTTGTAAAGGGAAACCCGAAAACAATTTCGTTTAATAGAAGAATAAGATTCTCGCAGGTTTTAGAAGAGACCAATTATTTGTTTTTGTTCTCAATAAATTTCTTTCTTGTTTTTATTTGTTCTTAATAAATATTTTGTTTTTTAGAGATGGTTAAAACTATAAGTATATAAATAATACAATGTCTATTAAATTATATTAAACAATTTTATATATATTAATTAAGATGTTAAATTAAATAATAATAAAAAATATATATGAAAAAAATAATGTAATGGCAAATATTGCTTTAATATTTCAAAGTTATATAAAATATATAAGTAATAAGTAAATATATTATACGTTTGTATGCATGTGTAATACACAGTGAGAGGTCATATATAAGCTGTATTCTTAAAAAAATTGCCTTCGAACATATTTATTACGCCGTATTAACATTTCAAAATTAATTTAAATTGTTTTCAAACTAAATACACAATTTTTAAAATATCTTCAAAAATTGCTACTTATTATGGACCTCCCTCTGTATGTGTGGTTTGCTTTTATTTTTTTTATATTTCAGTTTGTGTCTCGTTTTTATTTTCTTTTCGGTTCAGGGTTACTGTTACTAATTTTACGTAAGGTCCATATAGATATATATTTTTGTTTGTTTGTTTCATTACTAATTTAATTTTTCTCATTACTACAATATCTGATTATAGTGTTGTCGTTAATATTTTTCCTTCACTTTTGTTTATGCATAAAATGTTGCTGACTTTTTTTATTTATGTATGTCTTTATTTTTTTAGTTGTCTAAATTGTTGCCTACATGCATTTTTTTATTTTAAAGGTTTGAGAGAGATGGTAGCTTTTTACTGTTATTCTTTTCGGTTATTTTTGTTTTAGAAAATATAAAATACATTTTAAATTAATATCGCTATAACTTATTTGTTAATCTATCACAAAATCAAATACTTAATAAAAAACGAAATAAAAATTTAAAAAAAATAATAAAAATATTAACAAATGTATAAAAAAGAATGCTAGAATTTGTTAATTTTTGATAAATTGTAATATTTAGTTTTTGTTTGTTTTTGTTTGCTGCTGTATTGGTTAATAATTTACATTTGACTTTCTTTGCGCCACTGGAAAGTACCCGATTTAACACCTATACTTGAGGATCCTTGGCTATTGCTCGATAATATATTATTTGTTCGCCGGATGAGTTGGGCTGCCGAATCGAAACGACTGCGTATGAGACGCATTGCTGGATTTGTTGTAATGCCGCTGCGTTTACTTTTGCTGCAATGGAAGAAAGAAAAAAAAATAAATTTAATAAAATATAAAATACATTTTGTTGTAATTTTTTACTTACCTTGATGAACTAGCCTGATTCTCTTTCAAATTACCCAATATAATACGCATATGCGTATCGCGGGCAAAATGATTATCTGGCAAAACAGATTTACCACCGGAACTGCTACTACTGGGTCCACCACCATTACCACAACCGCCATTTAATGCTGATGCACCGCCAGTACAATCATCAATATTATTTATAGAAGGCAATTGTCCCGGTGAACTAAGTTCACTGCTTGGCGAATGTGGTGGTGTAGCGTACAGTGGTGACATACACTCCATGTCATATAGATCAGCCTCATTGCTGGCCATATGGGTAGCTGAAAATTGAATGGAAAAAGGAGGTTAATATAATTTTATAATTTGGAAATGAATGTTAATATAAATTTAATAAGCCAATTTTTCTAAGACGATTTGAAAACTTTATTAGAAATAAAAGTCGGATAGTTTTTTGAGACTTTAGGTGGAAAAAACAGGTTCACTATGGTGGGGTATGTATTAATTTTATCATTCCGTTTACAACACCTCGAAATATTCACCGGATACCCTATATGTGTCAGAACAAAATTTGTCATCCCGTTTAAAACTCCCCGAAATATTCACTGAAGACCCCATAAGTGTCAGAACAAAATTCGGTGTCGTTTTAGTTATGCCTGTCCGGATGTTGGCAGAGCTCGTAATTTGTTAGCTATAGCATTGCAAATTTTCATCTATATGGCTACTACTCCAAGGATGTTTGGGTTTTATTTTGGCATAACCCTAATATTTGGTACTTTAAGCAGGAATTGCTTGCAATTTGGCATTTTGGGTTCTCATTGGGTAACAAATCTTCCTATAGAAAATGATCAAAATTGCACATCTTTTAAGGTTAGCCTCCGTAGTTTCCGAATTTCGGTATTTTGATACTTCGACAAGTTTTACTCAATCAAATCAATGAATGTAATTTGGTATTTTGGGTTCTCATTGGATAGAAAATCTCCTCATAAAAAATATTAATATCGGCCCAAGTTTCGGAGTCTTCTCCACATAACTTTCGCACCCTATTATTCGGTATTTTGGATAGCTTTTTGTCAGCCGAATTGTCTCTAATTTCATATTTTGGGCTCTCTTTGGATGTCAAATATACCTACCAAAAAATTATCAATATCTGTACACGGTTTGGTATAACCCCGAAGGAACGGTACCTCCCACATTTCGGTATTTTGGGACTTTGACACGTTCTTGTCAACCGAATTAACTGTAATTTGGTATTTTGGGTTCTCAATGGATAGAAAACCTCCCCATAAAAATTATTAATATTGGCACAGGTTTCGGTGTAGCCCACATAGAGTGGTACCCTCATTGGATAGAAAATCTTACCATTAAAATAATAATATCGGCCCAAGTTTTGGGGTATCATCCATCATCATATAATGGCACAGCACATATATTTGCCTAGGGACGAACCCTATTGAAATTGGGAAAATCGATTCAGATTTAGATAGAGCTCCCATATATATTTTCGTCAGATTTTATGTAAATGGTGCCCCAATGCCCCTACATATCTTTTGATTTGCACGAAATTTGGCATAGCGTATTGAATTAAGTCTAGAATGATGTGTGTTAAGTTTCGTGAAAATCGGTTCAGATGTAGTTAGAGCTCCCATATATATTTTCGTCCGATTTTATGTAAATGGTGCCCCAATGCTCCTATATATCTTTTGATTTGCACGAAATTTGGCATGGCGTACTGAATTAAGTCTAGAATTATGTGTGCTTAGTTTCGGGAAAATCGGTTCTGATTTAGATATAGCTCCCATATATATTTTCGTCAGATTTAATGTAAATGGTGTACCAAAGTCCCTATATATCTTTTGATTTGCACGAAATTTGGCATAGGATTCTGAATTAGGTCTACAATGATGTGTGTTAAGTTTCGTAAAAATCGGTTCAGATTTAGATATAGCTCCTATATATATTTGGGTACGATTTTATGTAAATGGTACCCCAATGCCCCTATATATCTTTCGATTTGCACGAAATTTGGCATAGCGTACTGAATTCATTCTAGAATGTTGTGTGCTAAGTTTTGATTCAGATTCAGATAAAGCTTCCACATATAGTTTCTTCCGATTTGATATACATTTTACTGGTCCTTCAAAAATGAGACGTCTGTTAGGATTTATCTGTTGTTTATTAATTTAATGATTACAGACACGCTTTTTACCCGAATTGGCTCTAATTTGATATTTTGAGTTCTGATTGGATATTAAATCCTCCTACCAAAAAAATTATAAATATCGGTCGATCTTAGTCCTTTATATAGATTTCATTATGTAGAATTCAATTATACTTAGGCGAATTGAAAGGGGCTATTATTTGGCATTCCGTGACGTTGATGGGTAAACAATTTATTTTTCTTAGCTTTCGGACCAAGGGCTCGTATCATTTTCGGTATGTTCAAAGTCTTAGTCCAATTTTCCAATATGATATTTTAGGTATTTTGAATGTTCACCTCATGGTAGTCCCCGCCGAACATAACTTTTCAGGTCAGAACCACTCTAAATCGGTTAGATGTTCATTTACCAAAAGGGTTACGATACCAGATTCGATACTATCAATGAACCAGCACCTATAAATGCTTGGTCATGGGGCGCAGCTCCTAAAACAGAAATCGCATATATTCAAAACAATACCAGATTAAGGAACATACGAGGTCATTCCTATACACCTTGGCTACGGGGAAGGTTATCACTTCAAAGGTCTTGAAGCGTTCTTGATATTTTGAGTAGCTTTGTTGTACTGCCTCAACCGCTTCCGGTTATATCTTCAAGAGTTTTTAAAGTTTGTCTTTGAAAACTTTTTGCGATGTCACTCTGATGTCAAACTTATTTTGATGAATTTGGTCGGTTATAGGTAGGGATCCGAATTTTATAATATTATTTAATACCCTCACGCTAACTGGACTTCGTTGTACAACCTTCGAATTCAAATTGGCTTAGAAAAAATGGGTGCTCACAACTCTACTTACCCATTTGATGTTCACTGAGATCGGGTAATATTTGAGAATGACGATGATGACCACCGCCACCTCCTCCGCCGCCAGCCTTGTGGCCCAACGAAGACGATGAAGCTGAATTGCTGTGCTTGGAATTAACAATTGGTGCATTTTGCATAAATGGATTATTGCGTGAGCTAAGCTTGGTTTGTCGTTGTAACTGTTGGGTAAATGTTAAAGGTGCCTGCTGCGAAAAAACAACAACAACAAAATATTATTTATAAAAATTGCAATTTTTTAAAAAAATTCTTTACTTACATCATTACTGCTCCCGGTTGATTGACTAGATATAACACTTTTACGTTTGTGCAAACTACTTGTATCCGATTGCATTGTATTCTGATAGAAATTATTCGAACTATGTGTTGAGCTTGAGGCATTTAAGATACTAGGTGCTGCCATATTATTATTCACCGTGGCCGTGGTGGCGGCCGAACAAACCGACGAAGCTGAGGCATGTTGTTGTGGTGGATAGGGCGAGCCCGAGGGCAAAATACCCATGCCACCTAAATTGGCATGAGCCGGTATTGAGGGTGGTTGTTGATCAGGTGAACGTAAGATATTGCCATGATGGAATTTAGCCGCTGCATCCATGGCTTGATTGGCTTCGTCTATAAGAAAATGAGGATAAAAAATACAACAAATTAATATCAAATTGTATATTTATTTTTGAGAAATTACTCACTTTTGGTATAATTATCGAAAATCTTTAAAATATTTGTGCGATTCGATTTGGCGGCCAATTTAATGGGTGTACGACCACAATGATCGGATTTATAGGGATTAGCACCATACTTAAGCAGGGCCACCACACACTTCTCATGACCCTCTTGCGCCGAAATACCCAACGCCGTGGCACCCTGTTTACAGGCATGATCGGCCAAAGCACCAAAATACAATAGTATATTCATGACATCATGATTACCCTGCCAGGCACACGAATGTAAGGGTGTACGGGCCTCCAAATCCATGGCATTGACATCAGCATTACCTGCAATAGAAATTAAATACAAAAATTAATTTTCAATTGAATAATTTATTCCCCTTTGTTACTTACCCAAAGTGATTAGCATTTTAACCATTTCCGCATGACCCTGCCAGGCAGCCACATGTAGAGCCGTTCGACCCTCACTATCCGAAATGTTCACATCAACATCGGTGAATTCCAATAAATACTTCACCATTTCCAATTTATTTTCCAATGCCAGAATGTAGAGTGTCGTACGCGAATCCGCATCTTTCGAATTAACATCGCAATTATATTTTAGCAAATATTGTACCGTTTCCAAATGACCCTCAATGCAGGCCAAACGAAAAGCTGTCTTGCCATCGTGTGCCTTCTGGTCGACAAATGTCGACAGGCATTCGAGTAGAACCTGTACACACTGGGTGCGTCCTTCCTGAGCGGCTAAATGTAGAGCGGTTTTACCCTCATTATCGCATTCATCAATTTTGGCGCCCGATTCGAGTAGTTGCAGGCACACTTCATGGAAACCCTCAAAGGCGGCATAGTGCAGCGGTGTCCAGCCGGCATTATCACGATGTGTTTCGTCGAGGCCACGGTCGAGCAGTTGACGTACTGTTTCAATATTTCCCTGAGCAGCAGCTATGCTGAGCACCGTTCTACCCTCGGAATCCATGCAGTCGATGCCACAACCCCAGAATAGTAGAAGTTTTACAACATTTGCATGGCCGGCGGTACAGGCAGCCCATAGGGGAGTACGACCCATAAAGTCGGCCAAATCAGGATCAGCACCATTTTCCAATAGGAGTTCACACACTTCGGCATTACCTTCAAAGGAGCTAACCAAGAGCGGGGACATGCCATCATTGTCCAGTTGATCGGTATTGGCACCATGTTCAAGAAGTGTGGATATAACTTTGCTATAACCTGAGGAGCCACACAATGCGGCAACACAGAGGGCACTGCGACCATCTAAATCCAAATGATTAACATTGGCACCATTTTCCAGCAGGATTTCAACAATGTCATAGTGACCCATATACGAGGCCGCAATGAGAGATGTGCGTCCCTGACGATCAACGGAATTTACATCAGCACCATGTTCAATTAGGATTTTGAGTATATCCTCGTGGCCACTCCAAGCAGCTGCACGTAAAGCAGTACGGCCCTCCTTATCGGCTAAGTCAATTTTACATGCCGGATGGGCAATGAGTAGTTTGACAACCTCGGTGTGACCACCCCAGGAGGCTGAACGTAGTGGCGTCCAACCATCACGATCGGCATGATTGACATCAACACGTTTCATGCGTCCGGTACCATCATTGCAGGGTTGGGAGAAATTCAGTAACAATTTGACAACATCCAAGTGGCCATTTCGTGCAGCAATATTCAGAGCAGTTTGTCCATTATAATCTTCTATTTCGAGATCAATGGGTCCCTTACAGGCATTCAGGGCCCTCTCGAGCAACAAATGATTACCATCATTGGCTAGAATGTGTATTAAAGCCTTGCCCTTGTGCAATTCGATGCGATTGGAGTCAGATAGTTGATGCAGTGTGGAGGAGGCATTATCCTCCTGACTCTCATGATGAGGTTCACTTTTTTCCGAAGGACTAGAGGGCCTTTGGGTTTCCATAATACATGAACGCTCACTGGAAATCAGCAAATCCGCCAATTCAAAATCAATATTTTGTGATCTTTCGGAAAGTTCGGGAGACATTAGCGAAGATTCGCAAGATGTTTGGTTATCGGCATTATTGATCCCAGTTTCAATCAGCAACTTGAGTATCTTGGCATCTGTCGGTAGACTGGGTTTAAAGAAATCACACAGTAGCTGTGAAAATTCATCACACAATTCGTTGTTTAGGAATTTCTCAATCATGTTGCGGGTTTTGGGTAAAAAGTTGGGATCATTTTTAAAATCCAATTCACACATGGAGCAGCAATTCAGATGATTCGTGTAGAAGCAATCGTTCAGATTTACCCTTGACTCCAGCAGCATTAAAATCATATCCAAATCTATGTTGCGATTGGTGAGATACTCCCCCGATTTGATAAGGTGATAAATGAACTTCCGTACAGTATTGGCACAAAGGGTCTCAGCGACCAGAAGATAATACAAAGAAATCATGACATGACCCTCGTTGACATCGCAGATAAATTTCTTCGTGGCAAACTTGACATCAACCAACCAATCCGAAAAGGAATTGTGGAATATTTTCAATCGCTTCTGATCACTATCGTAGAGTAGAATATTCTTCATTAGATGCAGACGCTTTTCAAACTCCTCATTGTCGATGGTGTAGTTGTGGGTCCTCAGGCAATTGAACAGGAACAGTTTGTCGACATAGCCCGAAGAGGCCAGCAGGACATTCAGTACTGGCCGTATTTTCATATATTGCTTTTTATTAAACGATTTCTGGCATATATACAAATACAGGCCATTCAGGGTACAGGGTATCAGTTTGATCTCACGGAAACTAAAGAAATTCTCCTTGATGCCATTCAAAACCTTTTCCAAATATAAAATACAACCATTCGATTTGATATAGAGTTGATGTAGCGACTCGATAATTTCCTTGGTCAACATAATGCTATCCTTGAAATCGGAATTCAAACGATTTATAATGTACTCTTGGACATCTTTGACCACATGAGATTTTCGCAGATCATCTAGGGTGATTTTCTTGAAACCCGAAAACATGCGGGTAATTTGTTTGGTTTGCTTCTTGGTCGTACAAACCAAGAATAGCCACTTGGGGAAGAGGTGAATGTGGTTCGATAGCAACTCGGCCACATTGCGACTTTTATGGGTGGTACCTCCGCCACGTCCTCCCTTCAGGGTGGATATCAAATTTCCCTCATTAATGTAATTTTCATCAATGGAATCGATTAGCAGCAGTAAAGCTGTTTTGGGTGGTGTCAATTCCAGCAGCGGAAACAATATGGCCTTTTTGAAACACTCATCGGGATTCTTTTCGATATTATCCACAGTTAAGCATTCAAATATTTCCGGATTGGAAAGTAACATTTCATAATAACCATCGGCAATAATGGTGCGGCAACTTTTGGTCTTAGGCAAGGGTGGTGGTAGGGTATTGAAGCAGCCACCGGCCATTGAGTCGGGCTTTGAGTCGTCATACTCATCTGCCTTCGGCGAGTCCTTGGATTTTGTTTCAAAATCAATTAAATCATTTTCTTTTTCACTCTCCTTAGCTTCCGCATTTTCCGCGGATTCTCTTCGCTGATCTTTTTCTTTATTTTTAAACTCCTCCTCCATCATATCCTTGTCGGCCTCAGGTTTATCTTCGTTGTTTTGTTTCTCCTCTTCATCTTTATGTTGTTCCTGAGTGTCCTCCCCCTCATCACGTATGGCTGCTTGAATTTCCTGCTTTAAATCTTCATTGACCACAGAGGCAATATCCTCTCCGCCACCCTGCTGGGGCGAGGCATGCTGATTCTGATTATTCGGCAAACTTAAACTGCTGTTAATATGTTTAACCGGTGAGGCTATGTTCCCGGGTCGGGATAATTTAACTGGTATTTTGGATTTCCGTCCCGGACTGGTTTTACTCGAGGAGGGTAAATCCCTATCGGATTCTTCACGTTTTCTCATTTTCTCCGTATCATTATCTTTATTCTCATCATATTCTTTATGCGCCTTTTTCTTTTGACCCTTTGGAGGATGGGTACCATAACATTTTTTATCTTCTCCCGTAAAATGATCCTCATCATCCCCACCCGACATTTGTTGTGGTGGTACAGGTTCCGATTTTTGTCTCATCAATTGTAAATTTTCCCCTTTCTTCGAGGTGGAGGTGCGACGTTCATGGAAATTTTCCAGTTCAGCAATATCACATTCTTTGGCACCCCTCTTCAGTTCGGCTATAAGAATATCTTCGGCATTTTCATCCAAGGAAATGTTATTCATGGCCTCATCCAATTTCGATTCCTGTTGCTGGACCTCATCGTGCAGAAAAGAGAAACCTTCATCAATGATACGCTGGCTTTCATCTTTGGCGATTAACGACGAATGACTTAGGATTTGTAGCACAATTTTCCGTATAAACAACGAGAGGCTGTGGCATTCGGGATTTTGTGACTCAATTAGATAGGAGGCCAATAGCTTGCGATTCAGTAGACCTCTTGTGCCGGAATTGCCATTCATTATGGCCTGACAAATACTGGTTTTCCCCGAACCATTTGAACCCAAAACCAAACAACCATTATAGGTGGATGCAGATATGGCTGCCGCCTTGGCTCTGGAGGACATAAATCCACCGGCTGCTTCATTTTTACCACCATTTGCCGCCGTGGGTCCCAAGAGACCCGGTATGGCTTTCTTCCCAGCCGTTCTCTGTTCCAAACACATGGCTATTTTCTTTAAGACCCATTCACGATTTATATAGACCTTAGAACCATAACGATGTTGATGGTGGTGGTGATGATGATGCTGCTGCTGCGAATGATGATGACCGTATTCACGTTGGGCGCCAAAACCATTTACCTCCTTGTCGGGTGAGATTTTCTTTTGCATGAAGACTTCTAAATTATCGGAAGTATCTTCAAGGCCCAAACCATTGGTGGCCCCCTCCAAGGCAGCTTCCATTTCATTTTCAGGATCAAAACTTTTACGTGCCACCTCGAGGGGGAAATTCTGTTGTACCAAATTGGCGAAATGTTCTTCACGGGCCAAATTGGAGAAACTCGAGTTGGGACAATCTTTGCCGGATATTTCCATTTTCTTTTGCAGTTGAGTAGTATCTTTGAGGAAATTTAAGATTCTGCGGTCTTCCAGCTGATGATTGGGTGTGGAATTTCCGGGGCCACCATTGCCACAGTTCAAAGGTACTCCACGATTTGCATACATATTGCTGGATGTACAACCCGAATCAGGTTCATCGTCGAGATCTGTAATGGGTACCACCGTATTGCCATTACGATTACTAGCTGCTGCAGCCGCCGCAGCTGCTGCGGAATTCTGAACACGATTACTATCCCTTGGCGTATTCAATTGTTTATAATCCATAATATTGCTTAACTTTACATCGGCTGCTGTTGTTCCCGTCGTCAGCTCATTTTCATTTAAGGGACGTGCGGAAGCGGCAGCCGCTGCCAAACGGCTACGTTCACCACTTTTATAACGATCCGATTTACGCAGAGGTGTGGCATAGATCATTTCCTTGGGCATTTGTCCCACACTAATGCCATGTCGCCCCGCCGCCACCGCATTTTGATGTTTATTATTGGGCGCCGAATTTGAATTTGAATTGGAATTAGCCAAATTGACATTGGCCAAATGTGAACCCTGATTACTGATATTATTCAGCAGCAATTGTTGGGACAATGCCTTATTCAAATTGATGTTATTGGGATTATGTGCAGCAGCCTGAGCCGATTTTTGCTGTTGTATCTTACGTACCGACTCATTGAACATAGCCTGACAGGGTAGATTTTCATAGATATCATTACGTAAATGATCATTATCTGAATGTTTTGACATGTTGATGGGTGTTGTTGCGCGGTACTCCGTCTTCTTAAGTCTTAAATAAATCTTTGGTTTACGTGTGTGTGTGAGAGAGAAAAAGAGAATGAGTATTTCTCTTCGAAGCTCTCTTCAGTTCTTCAGAATAGTCTTTTTTGTTGTAGTACTTATAAGTAAATTCTTATATTTTTGCAGATTACTGCTACGATTTTGTTTTAGTTCGTTTCGTTTGTTACATAATATATATCCAACGGATTTCACATTATATTTGAGTTCCTTATGTGAAGAGAGTAGATCTAGAAATATAAGAGAAGAGGGAACATAATTAGGTATTTGATAATTATATTGAAACAAATTTTGTTTTATTCTAAAAAGGGGAAAAATAAGTTTTCAAAATATTTTTCAAGGCCTCGCAGTGTTAAAAACTAGATTTTCATGAACACTCTGTGGTTTAAATTTTCACAGGAAGCTATATTTTTTTCTAGGACCAAAAGGGCCATAGACGTGAATTTTTTAAACACAAAATTTTTTTCAAGAAGAAGCAAAACTATTTCCGGTTAACCGACCAGAAGAGCTATAACAAACAAACTAAAAACTAATTTATAAGAAAGTTTTTATTTAATATTTAATAGCTGAAACATATAGACGTATAAGTGATGACAATAAGTATCCGCCCCACTGTACCTCAGCTAAATAAATCGTTCTTTATGAATTGTATGCTTTTCTTTTGTTCTTCAATTATATTTCCAGAAAAGGCGAACACCATAAGGTGAGGGGATGATGATGATCAATCTGCCGGAGAATATAAAAATGTTATGGTACCCATTCCCCAAAAGGTCAAAAGAAAAAGACGCATAAAGAATATGATGAGATGAAAATTAAAACAGTTATGGTACTCATTCTCCAAAAGGACGATAATATGATGAGAATAAAGATCATGATACTGAAAAATTAGAAATGTGCAGAATCCGATAGGGATTTACCCTCCTCGAGTAAAATCAGTCCAGGGCGAAAATCCCAAATACCAATTATCCCGACCTGGTAACATAGCCTCATCGGTTAGACATGTTAATAGCAATTTAAGTTTGCCGAATAATCAGCATGCCTCGCCCCAGCAGAGTGGCGGAGAGGATATTGCCTCTGTGACAAATGAAGATTTAAAGCAGGAAATTCAAGCAGCCATACGTGATGAGGGAGATGAGACCCAGGAACGACTTAAAAATGAAAAGAAACCAAACGAAGATAAACCAGGCGCCGATAAGGATAATTGCGGAGGCCAAGGAAAGTTAAAAAGAAAATGATTTAATTGATTTTGAAACAAAATCCAAAGATTAGTATGTGGATTTCAAACCCGACCCTGAGTGCGGTGGCAGTTTTAATACCTTACCACCACTCTTGCTTGAGACCAAAAGTTTACGCGCCATTATTTCCGATGATTACTATGAAATGTTACATTTCAATATTTGAATGCCTAACTGTGGATATAGATCGAAAGGAATCCGGATGAGCGTTTCAAAAAGGCCATATTATTCCCGCTGCTGGAATTGACATCACCAAAACCTCTTTGATGCTGATTATGGCCGATTTAATAATATTATTATGTTGGCTATGAAAATATTGAATCTTCACATCAACCGTATATCAAATCGAATTGTTGTATTTTATATTTGGAAAAGGTTTTGAATGACATCAAGGAGAATTTCTTTAGTTTCCGCGAGATCAAACTGATACCCTGTACCCTGAATGGCGTGTATTTGTATATATGACAGAAATCGTCAAATAAAAAACAATATATGAAAATACGGCCAGTACAGAATGTCTTGCTGGCCTCTTCGGGCTATGTCGACAAGCTATTCCTGTTCAATTGCCTGAGGACCCACAACTATACCATCGACAATGAGGAGTTTGAAAAGCGTGTACATCTAATGAAGAATATTCTGCTTTACGGTAGTGATCAGAAACGTTTGAAAATATTCCGCAATTCCTTTTCGGATTGGTTGGTTGATGTCAAGTTTGCCACGAAGAAATTTATCTGCGATGTCAACGAGGGTCATGTCATGATTTCTTTGTATTATCTTCTGGTCGCTGAGACCCTTTGTGCCAATACTGTACGGAAGTTCATTTATCACCTTATCAAATCGGGGGAGTATCTCACCAATCGCAACATAGATTTGGATATGATTTTAATGCTGCTGGAGTCAAGGGTAAATCTGAACGATTGCTTCTACACGAATCATCTGAATTGCTGCTCCATGTGTGAATTGGATTTTAGAAATGATCCCAACTTTTTACCCAAAACCCGCAACATGATTGAGAAATTCCTAAATAACGAATTGTGTGATGAATTTTCACAGCTGCTATGTGATTTCTTTAATGCCGATAATTTCAATAATGCCGATAATCAAACATCATGCGAATCTTCGCTAATGTCTCCAGAACTTTCCGATAGATCACAAAATATTGATTTCGAATTGGCGGATTTCACGCAGAGAAGGATTATGGTTGCAGCAACTATATTCGAAGAGCATAATGTTATGGTTGGGATATGGCTGCGGCAACAATAGTACTATGTTGAAGCAACCATATTATATACAGAACATTTTTGACATAAAATTTAAGTTTTTAACAATATAATGGTCACTGTAAAAATAGTTGTTGTTCTCTTCCAAACATACTGTTGTTCCCAACTAACCATGTAATGGTTGCCCCCAACCATTTATTGTTCTTCAAGTAATCATACCATGTTCATGCGAAACCATACTGTGGTTCCCATATAAACATAATATTGTTCTAAATAATCATACCATGGCTATGAAATAACCATGTTATTGTTCAATGTAACCATACTATCTAACCATGTTATAATTTAGGATAACATAATATGGTTACATGCATTAAATTACCTGTGAATAAAATACATTATTTATTTAAAACAAATTTTATTTTATTTAATACATATACATATATACATTTTACGACAAATCAATTTAAAAAATAAATTATTTTCTTTATATATACAAACGTTACTTACATAGGGAGATTCAAGGCATTTTATGTTAACCGATAGAAAAATGTCCTCGTAATCGATAGGGAACGCACGGTAGTGAGCAGCAAAACCGTGATTTAAAAAAGCCATAAAAACCATTCTTAAAGAAAAGACTTACTTGCTTGGTGTAAGACTTTGCAAATTTCAACAGTGGTGGGAACAATTATGTCTTGTGAGGAATTTAAGAATGTTTCTTCTCCAATGTAGGATATTGCTTGGTGGCAGCTGTGAAATGTTCTGTTGATGGCGTTTCTCTAATTCTATCAGAATCTGTAGATTCACCTTCAAAAGCGGAGTCCGTATTGGATACACAAACGTCAGCATCTATGAAAATTAGAATTTAAAAAATATTAGAATTTTATAATTTTAAATAAAGTTTCTTTTTACTAATACTTACTTGATAGTTTAATACCTAGAACAAAATCGGTAGATCCAATAAATTGACTAACAAAATCGGAAAAAATGCTTGGTTTTATCTTAAATCCCTTAGAGAGAACGTCTACATCAACATCTCCACCTAAACTGTAGCTTCTTCGAACTGCAATGAAAACACAACAAAAATAATAACGTAATAAAACAGACAATTTTGATTGCTTCCACATTTTGCGTTTGTTTTATCAATCTTCTTATATTTACCTTCATCCAAGAACAATTTGTAATTGTTAACTCCGTCAAAGCTAACACAAATAATCTCCTTTTTATCACCAAAAATTGTTTTAATAAACTTTAAACCTTTCACTTTTTGATTTTGTTAAAAACACAACCTTCTCACACAAAAAGAACAGAACAACTGAAGTTAATTCTGTTCTTTTTTGCAAGCAAAAAACATAACGGGACTCTCATCAAGGAATGCACACATTTGTATGCATGGATGTTTGAAAATGAAGAACTATTGCGTAACAATAACCATTACATGGTTGCAATAAAAATATCGTGATTGATTTCAAAAATGATATTATTGCAGACCAACGAATACACAAAATATGCATGAAAATACATGAATACGTAGTGTATTTTATAAAACATAATATGATTGCATTAAAAAACTTATTGTTGTCACCGAATAGCAACATACCAAATGACAATGTTATTATTCCTTCTAATCATATCATGTTTAATGCTCGTAAGATTCTGATAATTACATTATGGAAAACAAAAATCGGCCACAGTATCTTTGCTTACAACCATGTAAATGGTTTGTAACCATAAAATAATTTTTTGATGCAAAAAAGTATTGTATCGGCAACTATGAAATAGTTTCTCTGATAATTGTATAGTTTTTCAAAGTAACCATACTTCAGATTTTTTAATGAACAACATTGTTGCGACAAAATATTGATCAGATTTTTATTGTAGAAATAATGATGTGGTTGAAACAAATAAAAACATGCTTGAGGAAAGAATAGTATGACTGCAGCAAATATTGAGTGATTGCAGTGAAAATGTTCAACTATATTTTTTCTCTGCGTGTTAATGATTTCTATTGAACGGTCATGTATTATGGAAACTCTGAGGCCCTCAAGTCCATCGTTAAAAAATGAACCAAATCATGAGAGTCAGGAGGATAATGCCTGTTCCGCGCTACATCAACTATCCGACTCCAATCGCATAGAACTGCACAAGGACAAGATTTAAAGGGCCCTGTATGCCTGCAAGGGGACCATTGATCTCGAAATAGAAGATTATATTGGAGAAATTTGCTGCAAAAAATGGTCAGTTGGATGTTGTCAAATTGTTGCTGAATTTCTCCCAACACTATAACGATGGCACTGGGCGCATGAAACGTTTTGTTGGCAATTATGTGATCGTGATGGTTGGACACCCTGCTGCCGTGGTCACACGGAAGGTGTGAAATTATTCATTGCTCATATGGCATGTAAAATTAATTTAGCCGATAAGGAGAAACGTATTCGAATGGTACATGTAGGCGTATTAGTGACGACAAAACGTATACTCACTGGGGTACATCAGA